TTATATTATATTATTATATTACATTATATTATATTATTATATTACATTATATTGTATTATTACATTATATTATATTATTATATTACATATTATTTACATTAACAAAAATATCTCGTAATAAACTCCAGTTTGCGTTAAAGAAAGTTAAGAATATTGTATGTCATTTTGGCTTACTGGACAGGTTGTTAGGTATGACATTCAAGACACAACGCAATCTGATTGGGTCAGCTACTTTACGAACCTCAGAGCCAAAATGTCATTAATAAGTTCCATAATAAGCACAATATTTAGCCAGACGACAATGAAGTAAAGTAAGTATTCAAAAATGAAATTACCGTTACATTTAAATTGTTTAAAACTTAATATGTGTTAATATCCTTTGGGATTATAATAAAATATATTAAAGGTGTAAAACAATAGTTAATGGAATACTGCCAAAAAACCGATTGAAAATGAAACGTGATGTGAAATACAAACTTAACGCGTCTCAATTAATACTTAGAGTATTAAAGATCAGAAGCAACAACAACAAAATACTGTGAAAAAAGTACAAAAAAAAGGATAATGGATTTACTCGCTAAAAAAATTTAAAGTAAAGAAAATTGTAACAAAAACAGTGTGGTTTAAGAAGTCAAAATTATGAAACTTGTAGTGTCGGTATTCGAATGTGTATACTTATTTTAGTTTTTATAACGTCTAACAAGCCTGAAACTCCAACAAAATAAAACCTTCTTCAGTAAATGTAAGTCAATTTATTAATGATTTTAACCTTCGGCTTTCCATACGACCTTGTACGAGATTATTAACAAATTGAGAAGCCTTTTTTTTTTTCGTAGCTTTTTAGGGTACTTTTGAACTTGATTTACTGAATAAAATACACAACGGGGGAAAAGCAAGCACTAAAAATGTTAAGAAAAGTTAACATTTTCTTCAAGAGAGAAAACTAAAACTGGTACAAGAATGATAATTAATTAAGGAGCATACACAACTTTTGATATTTAACGATTTCTGTATAATGATTTGAACTTATTTTGTGGCTGGTGTATGTGCATACATAATTTATTTACACAATCCAATTAATAAATAGTACGAAAATATACCAATGTTGGGTGTGTTAGATATACACAATTGTTTCGGTTTAAGTTAATGCGAGAGGTAAATTTAGATATGCTAGAAGCAATAGGTTATCGCATGTTTGTTTACATAAGTTTTTGTGAATCATGCGTTGTGTAGTTCATTAATTATGAATTGGTGATTGTTATATTATTGTGTCGTGTTGCTAGAACCTTCTGAGTTTTTATAATTGTTTTAATTGGGTGTTATTGCAGCATAATATCTAGTAGTGTAAGGAACGTTCTAGAGCTCTGTCGGGGTTTACATGCTCGTCGAAAATTTTGTTCGAAACATAGATCTAGAGTGCGTGAGTGTGAGTTTAGTCAAAAATAGTGTATAGTGGCGATTTTTAAAGTGAAATTATCATAAATTGTATTTTAATAACAGAACAGAAAGAATAATTCTTCTTGTAAAATTGTGTTCTAAGGTAACTGAACTAGCCTGTGTGGACTTTGATGAAAAAGAGAGAGTTATTTAAAGTTCTGGATACAACTGTGATAACCACAAGTGCAATAAATATTTGAATATACGTTAGACTTATTTTAATATATTATTTTAAAACAAGTGGACTGTGCACTGTTTTTTTATTGTTGAAATTTATTGCCAACAAGTCACAGATAACTACTGTAAAGAATCCAGCCCATACATAAAACCTGACAGTAACGAGCCAGCCAAGATCTACAGTGGTAAATAGCAATATAAGTAGATGTAAACAACAGCAGCAAATAGGCTGTAATGGTGTAGAACATCGTAATGTCAGTGTAATTACAGCAAATAGGCTGTAAATACGCACAGATGTAATGGTGGCGAAAATATTGCAGAGGTCACAACCACACTATATAACCATGTCGACTGACTGATAAGTGCATAGAGAAGGGCGAGTGACTTGTACTTAATGATGGTGATCAATAAGAGTTTGTTACACAACAACAAGAGGGAGAAAGGCTGAAAGAAGATAAGTAGAGAGAGAGGAGAGACTAGAAATAGAGAGAATAAGAGCAAATATTGATATCACAAGCTCATCCAACAAAAAGATGGAGGACACAAGCTGCCCAAATGTGATGAAAAGAAAGATGATATGGATGCTTTTCTGGTGAGGTATGAGACAAATGTGACTGGGCAGTCTGTCTCAGCCCCCTTCTCACAGGAAAAGGCCTACTAGTGTATGTGTGCATAACTTCAGAAGATGCCATGGACTGTCTCAAGTTAAAGGTGGCTTTTCTGAAATGTTATGAACTTACTGAGGAAGGTTTTTTGCTGGAAGTTCAGAAAAGTCAAACCTGACAGTAAAGAAGCTGTATTTCAGTTTGTAGCATGTCTATGGTGATATTTCACAAGGTGGACTGACATGGCCAAGTTTGAAGATAGTTTTGAAGGACTGGAAGACCTACTAATACCTGAACAGTTCATGATTACATGTTACACTGTCATATCACCGTTCTTAAAAGAAAGACGTGGACGAAATGATCAAGCTGGCAGAACAGTATATGGAACCACATGGAGGGAGTATAACTTGCAAGTACAAGAATAACAACTCAAATTTGAAGCCACAGGTGGCTGACCAGAAGCAAGATGCCACCAAAGGTGACAAGAAGTCAACATACAAAAAGGAGAAAATATACTATACTTGTAATAAAGTAGGGCACATTGTGAGTGAGTGTGAGAGAAGACTTTGTGAGTGTCATGATATAAAAGACTGTTTAGTTTAGATATTATTGATTAATATGTTTTGTGTGTGAATATTTTATTATTGTTTAGTTTTGTTATAATAAGAGTTAAAAGCAGACAGACAATAGCAGGAGAGAGTAAAGTTATAGACAAGGAAACGTTCGGCGTGAAGTTAACTGCTGTAGAAGTGATATGCCTAACGTTTAATGTTAGGGTAAGACTAACAGTAGATTATGGTAACTCACTCCACAATTATAAGTGAATCACACACAGAATACTAGTGCAATAGTAATAGAGAAGATAATTTGGCATGTCAGCTGCAATTTAAAGTAATTGAATAGGCCTAAGTGGACTTTTGACAAGAAGAGAACTACATATATAGTATTTATAATATGGCAATAATCTCTATAGTGTGAGGAATTTGTTATACATGCATTTAACTGGTTCCGAATATATATATATATATATAGATATATATACATTATTTTACAAATAAGTGAAGTGCTTGCTGTTTATTTATCGTTGAATTTATTGCTAACAAGTCACAGACACCTACTGTAAAAGAATCCTAAGCCCAACACCATAGTATATATTTATCCTATTAAGAAATATAAGTAAAAGCCTTCTTATTTTGACAATTGGCAAAAAAAGAAGGTAATATTTTAAATTCCTGACAGTGACACCCGATGGATGCTGCCAGTTCATAAGGATGCTGTTTGGGTTAGTCAACTCAGCAGTGACATCCAACTGCATGATGAGGAAGATGTTGCACAAAACCATCAATATCGAGCATTATGTGGCTGGCATTCTCACCCACACAGCCAGATGGGAAGACTACTAGGAGAAACTGAGAGAGCTGTTTGGACGAGTGAGGGCAGCAGGTCTGACCATCAGATGATCTAAGTGCTACATCAGTTATTCTGTGCTAGACTTTGTTGGACACAAGGTGGGTGACTGACAGATAGCCATGGAAGAAGAGATTGTTTGTTTGTTTGTTTTAAATTTCGTGCAAAGCTACACGAGGGCTATCTGCACTAGTCATCCCTAAATAGCAGTGTAAGACTAGAGGGAAGCCAGCTAGTCATCTCCACCCACTGCCAACTCTTGAGCTATTCTACCAATGAATAGTGGGATGGACCATCACATTATAACGCCCCATGGCTGAAAGGGCGAGCATGTTTGCTGAGACAGGGATTCGAACCCGCGACCCTCAGACTGCGAGTCAAATGCCCTAACCACTTGGCCATGCTGGGCCTGGAAGAGGAGAAGCTAACATGCATACAAGATGCTCTAACAACCAAGCAGCAAGTCAAACCCTTCCTGGGGTTAGCTGGATATTACAGGAAGTTCATCTCAAACTGTGCTGAAGTCGTTGCACAACTGACTGACTTAACTAAGAAAGGTATGGCATTCCAAAAGTTGAAGATGTTAGAAAGTTTACCAATCCTTAGAATGCTAGACTTCAACAAACGTGCATTGTTCAGGCCAGTGCATCAGACTTTGGAATTGGAGCAGAACTTCTGGAAGAACATGAAGATGGACTGTTTTCTGTAATGTACATCAGCAAAAAGCTGTTGACTAGTGAGAAGAATTACTTTGTGATTGAATGAGAATGTCTGGCCATCATATTTACCATCTGTAAAAACCAGAACTACCTCTATGGGAGGAGTTCATCATCCAGATGGACCATCAGCCCCTTGCTTACTATCAGGGGTGCAAAATCGACAGTGTGAATATCATGAGGTGGGTATTGTATCTCCAGAACTACTAGTTCTGCGTAGAGTCCATCAAAGGGACTGCAAATGTTGGTGCAGACTGTATGAGTAGACTATATATAGTTTAAAAAATATTATTTATATTTTTATTGGCTTATTGTTAGATATACAAAACTGTTTCAGTTTAAGTTAATGCGAAAGTTAGGATTTAGATAGTTTGTATGGTGTGAGTGGTAAATTTAGTTATTTTTTAGAAGTGATAATTTATTACAGGTTTGTTCTGTTTGTGAGTCATATGTTGTGTTATGAATTGATGACTGTTATATTAGTGCATCATTTCATTGGAACCTTTTGAGTTTTTGTTTTATTCGAGTGTTATTGCATCATAATATCTAGTAGTGTGTGGAACATTCTAGATATACCACTGTGCCGATTATATTAACATCAATAAAATGGTTATAAAGTAAACAAAATAATTTTAGGACTGATTTAGGATAACATAATATCAAGGAGAGAATATTTTAAAATTTTGATTAACGATGATTGTTATACAAAAATGAACAGGGAATCATAAAAACAATGTTAAGACTCCATGTTCTTATTTTAGTTGAATATAAATATCTACTATAGTTAAATATAAAGAACTACATATTTTAAGAACTTAAGGAATCCAAAGCAAAGTCTCATGATTATAATTTTGTTATCCCAACTTTGTAGAGTGATGTGGGCCTGTTTTAGTTGAATCAAACTTTTGGTCCAATCATAGTAGTTTTAAAAAGTCATGGAATTCCTGTCGCTCTTATTCTGGATAATGATACACTGACGGAATTGGAAAGAGAAGAATTATTAATTTTTTCTATATAATAATTCATTATGCCATACTATACACTGGGAGTCACCCAGTGAACTTATAAAAGTTACCAGAGTCCATATCTGAATCATTTTGGAATGTCGTTAAGAGGTTTGTTTTCTAATTTTGTGCAAAGCTACTCGAGGGCTTTCTGCACTAGCAGTCCCTAATTTATAAGTGATAGACTAGAAGGAAAACAGCTACTTAACATCACTCACCACCAAATGTACTGAAAATGAACTCCATTCTCAGATCAGGCTTTCTCAGTGCTTTTGATAATATAGTGTACATGCGAAGGAAATGATGTCAGCTGATACCAGCATTTATTTGAATAATACAGCTTCTTTATGTAATTTCCTACTGAACTTTTTAAACAGTATGACATTTATGAGTCAGGTGCGCCCCCATTCAAGCTCGAAAGTGGACCTCAAATAATGGCAGTTTTTGTGAGACATTTCTTGTTAAGCCACATTAACACATTACATACGTGCAAATTACTTCGTAGCATTGGGCCTTCCCTTGAATTGGGAGGCCCACACGAGAAGCCTCCTTTGCCCCCTTCCCCCAAGTCTTTTTTTCGTGAAATGGCGCTCCTGTTTATGAGGTAGATTGAGGGTCGAATCATTAGGAGAAACTGTAGAATTCTTGGGGACATTGTCGGTGCCCCAGAGGGGCAGTAGAGAACTGCGACCACTGAGTACTAATTTGGTCCTCTCTCAGTTTTAATATAAAGTACTCAACGTTTTGTATGTGTGTGTGTATATATATCTATATATATTGCATTAGATAAAGTTGAATGGTGTCAAATATCAGAAATAACTGGTCTTAGAAAGTATTTTGTACATCAGATATGTAAAGGGCAGAAGTAAGGTCTATTTCAGTCATTAGCAGACAGTAAATAGCAGCAATAACATTGTATTTATTAATGAAAAACACTTCTTAGTAACATTAGAATAAATAGAATATACATCGTAACAGGAGTCACTATTTTTCTGATCCAGTGTAGAATAGAAATCAAATATCTGAAAACCATGTTATTTAATAGATATTCAATTTATACAAGAAAAACAAAAACAAAGAAAAATTAACGAACAAAGCAAAAAAAAATTGAAAATTGTATATATTTTATCATTTTTCACATCTTGTTACAGAAAATAAACGAATGATAAGTCACAACTGTAAAAAACTCTCAGATATATCTGTCTCTAGATATATATTTTGTGAAGAAAGATATAACCAGAAACACACAGTGCTACAAACCCACTAGACTAGATGGATATAATGAATTTAAAATATTTTATATACATTCTTTTTCCGTATTTAAAGATTTTATGCCACAGAAGCAGCTAAATAAAACAAACAAAAACAGATTTGTTGAGTTTTCAAAATATAAATGACCCTATCCAACGAACAAAAACAATAAATACGGAGAGAAAGGACGATGATGAAGCCATACAGTTAAAATAAGTTGCAAAGCAAAATATCCTGTTTAAGATTTGAACTAGCTGTTTGTAGTAAAAAGCTTTTAATGACGTCGAACTTGTGGAATTAAACCGTTTTTAAGTTGACCATTCTTTATAGGTTTTAGGCAAAAGAATGTATACAAAACTTTTCGGTGTAAATCAGATGAGCGCTGTAGTGCGTATTAACGCACACGAACTGCTGCTCTTGGTGGATTTTCCTTCAGCTCATAAAAATCTGGAGTTTTGAGATCCTTTTCCATTTGAGTCAAATAACTTTCTGCCAAACGGTTCGCAATCTGTAAAAATGTCAGTATTTAACTTAAAATGTTATTTTCATGTAAAACAAGAACTTTGTATAATAGAAACATCGATTATATGGATTAAAAAGCAGACCTTATATAGTAATGCTAGAGATCTAGGAAAGCCACAAGAAAGAGATTAAACTTACCGATTGTTTATAAAGTTTATTTTGCAAGTTATTGAAGGCATAATTGTCCGTGATTTTCTTTGAATTATTCCATTTATACGACTGGCATAGGAGAACATCAAATGTGATGGCTAAAGGGATAAAGAAAAAATTAGGATAATAAAATATATTCTTCACGCTGATCATGAAATAACTTTAATAATGTGAAATCATTTTAGCCCACAAATTGCAATAAGAGAAAATTTTAAATACATGATCACTGCTGGAGTGGGGTGGGATGCCATCCCAATTCTTTTTAGGAAGGCCCAAATCTATTCTGCTACCTTTTAGTAAACTATAAGCTTTTCAAAAAGGAAAGGTTCAATATACCATGCAATAAATATTTACAACGGCAAGGGACTAGGGAGAGAAACTTTTTTTCTTAAAATAAAGTGTAAGAGTGAGGCAGAAATGAAATAAAGTAGTACAAGGATAAAGTGAATGAACCCTCTCACTTTGGACTGAATTTGTAACCATCACAGTTTCCATGCTGTAACTCACAATAGTATACACCTGTTTATACATACTTTTATTGTTTTATTGCCCTTTGAAACGTGTCTAACTAATCATCCCGCCACACAAGTTGTAAATCATTGGACAAACGTGCAGTTCACTTACTGCATCAATTAGGTAACGCACGAGATGCTCGCGAGTATTACTTCGTTGAGATTTATTATTATCAATTATCTTACCTAATTGAACCTAATAATTTTATAATTTTTACAATTGAGTTATGTTTATAATGAAAAAATAAAAGATACATAAGAAAACCAAGAAATATATTGCTCAGCTTCAACTATTTCACAAACCATCCCGCTTCCTCTTTCCCCCTCCCCCACGCTTCGAGCACTGTTTCTGTGTTCTACGTAAGTTAAATTTATTGCAGCTTAAAAATAATCTAACAACTTTAAAATTTACACAGTGAGAAAACTGTCACCTTCTTTTACAAATTTGAATGTTTTTAAAAGTATTTGATTTCTTAGTAAAGTCTATATCATATCGTTTATGATTTAAAATTATAAATGAATTATCCTAAGATATAATTACAAATTGGTAAGTCTATTTGTTCTAGTGATGAAAGTAGGGAATTGTTATTTAAGAGTGAAATAGTTTGCTCAAAATACTATTCCCTGGTGGCTCAGCAGTAAGTTTGATGGTTGCAACACAGCACATATTGATCATTGAGCAGCTTTACGAATAACAACAATGAAACAAAATGGCTTATTACTCAGGGGAAATTATAATTACTAAAACTTACAATATTTACAGATTTTTTTTAACAAAAAAAGTCAATCGAATAGAGAGAATTCAGTAACTGAGCTAATGAATAAATTTAAGTCTTCATGTTTAGGAAATTTGACGAGAGACAAAAAAGGTTTTACTACATTCCATATCGTCAAACTGAAAGGAGTAAAAGAATAACATAGATACAATTTACTTTTTTCTCTCTTCTATATTAAGTAACCTTCAACAAAGTCCATCAGTCGTAAAACCTGGAACGCAGTAAATTATTTCGTTTTTTCTCTAATTTTTAGTAAACAACGTGAGTTTTATGGAATGTGTACATAATTTCTCGAAAATCAGACAACACGCGAGCATTGGCAGGTGCCTCAAAATCAATTGGCCACACTCGATCTAGTAGTCCCCCTGTGGGACAGCGGTATGTTTATGGACTTACAACTCTAAAATCTGGGTTTCGATTCCCCACAATATACACAGCAGATAGCCCAATGTGGCTTTGTTCGTAAACAAACAAATCGATCCAATAATTTCTGAAATAGAATAAACACGTACTTAAATGAAATTACAATTAATATGCTTGTTTGTTTTATTTAATTATAAAGCTACAAAATAGGCTATCTGCGCTTTGCGCACCACGGGTATCGAACCCCAACTTTTAGCGTTATAAGCGTTGAATCTTACCACTGAGCCTCCGGGAGGTTAAAATTAATATTCAAGCGTTAATATCACCAGTGTTTATCACACATATATTTTAAGTGTGTATGAAACAAAGATTATGAATATACTACAACAAAATTATTTTTATGAAATCTACTGGTAATATGTTTCTGCAATTTCAATAATTTTAGAAAAATACATAAAGCTGATCAACACTTACTGTCGACAATTTTTTCGCACTGCTCTGAAACATCATTCTCTTTTTCCAAACGAGCAAATTTTTTCATTAGCATCTTAGAAGTGTTGTCGTCGAGTAGATGCTTTTTATAGTTTTTCGTCAGCTGTAATAAAACAAAGGCATATATCTAACTGCATTAGCGAAAACATACTAAAAGTAAACAAATGCAGGTATAATCACAAGAATGCCCGGTATGGCCAGGTGATTAGGGCGCTTGACTCGTAATCTAAGGGGTCGCGGGTTCGAATCCCCGTCTCACCAAACATGCTCGCCCTTTCAGCCGTGTTGCTTTATAATGTAACAGTCAATCCCACTATTCGTTGGTAAAAAGAGTAGCCCAAGAGTTGGCGGTGGGTGGTGATCACTAGCTGCCTTCCCTCTAGTTTTTCACTGCTAAATTAGGAACGGCAGAGCTGGTTATGCAATTTGCTTGTTAAAATTTAGTCAAATTGCACATCTATTTAATTGATATATACATTATTGTACAGTAATTATAGGTTTGTATCGCTATTTGATACACGGAAAGACTTATTAATTTGTTATAAATGTCTTTAATCATCAATCTCTTCAATATTTTCACAGTACGTGTAACTTAGCTACGGTATGACACATGGACTGAACAATCAAGTCAGAAACTACTAAGGTTCAGTCATATCCATCTCTAATTTAGAACTGCTGACCAAAAGGAAAACAAGTCCGTAGCATCCGTCGTCTAATAAGCAACTACTCTTAACCAAATAGTATAGCATGATGGATTGTAGAAATTATAACCAAATAGTATAGCATGATGGATTGTAGAAATTATAACCAAATAGTATAGCATGATGGACTGTAGAAATTATAACCAAATAGTATATTATGATGGACTGTAGAAATTATAACCAAACAGTATATTATGATGGACTATAGAAATTATAACCAACAGTATATTATGATGGACTGTAGAAATTATAACCAAATAGTATATTATGATTGACTGTAGAAATTATAACCAAACAGTATATCATGATTGACTGTAGAAATTATAACCAAATAGTATAGCATGATGGATTGTAGAAATTATAACCAAATAGTACAGCATGATGGACTGTAGAAATTATAACCAAACAGTATATTATGATGGATTGTAGAAATTATAATCAAACAGTATATTATGCATAATATACTGTTTGGTTATAATTTCTACAGTCCATCATGATATACTATTTGGTTATAATTTCTGCAATCCATCACGCTATACTATTTAGTTATAATTTCTACAGTCCATCATAATATACTGTTTGATTATAATTTCTACAGTCCATCATGATATACTATTTGGTTATAATTTCTGCAATCCATCATGCTATGCTGTACTATTTGGTTATAATTTCTACAGTCCATTTATAATTTCTACAGTCCATCATAATATACTGTTTGGTTATAATTTCTACAGTCCATCATAACAACCATGATGGACTGTAGAAATTATAACGTCCATCAGGGAGTGTAGGAATTATAACGTCAATCAGGGACGAAAATGCAGAGCGTTATTTGGAATATTATGGCTCAAATCTGAGATCTTCTGATTTCCAGCCCGGCACGCTAACCACTAGGCCACTAAGAAGCTAGTGACATGGAATATTATGTGCGAGAAATCACTGCTCCGAATAGGCACATAATAACTTGGTCTGTGAGGATAGTAAACAAGAAAAGAAAAACAATCATCAACAACAACAACAATAAATGCATGATATGTATATCTCAGAAGGAAAAGAAAAGATTAGTTTAATACTGTATAAAACCACAACCTTGTCGATATACTCCTGCAACTTCATTTTTCTGCTAAGATCCAGAACAGTAGTCCATACCAGTGTGTGCACGTTTGCTTCTTGAAATTCAGTAATTGTATCTTGTATGAGATCCTCAAGAACGTCATCCTTTATAGAAAAGAAAACTTGAAAAATGAGATTATAAATTAGATGAAAAACATATCCAAACTAAGTAATAGAATCGAAATACAAAAATCAATAATATGCTTTTATCTAAAATATATAGTTCAAGAGATACTTATTCCTGTAAAATAGTTAATTCAATTGTTGAAATAGTTTAAAATGTTTCTGTTTTCTGATATACAGCTTCTGTAATTGGAAAGCAATGGAATGACAAGTAGTCTGTAACCAAAGTCAGCGTGATGAATTCTGGTGTTGTGGAAATAAATATGCCAGTAGCAACCCACATTAGACAAAATTCATTAATAAATTTTCATCAAGGGAAAAATAGATATATAGAATAAAAATATAAAAAAACGTGTATAATAATAAAGCTAAGTCTACATAACAAATTACGGGAAGTAAATAGTGTCATAAATAAGTACATAAAATAACTCAATCTGTGGTTATTCGAATGCATAGATTCATTTGTTTCTTACCTTTGCTATGTTTTCACTAATACACTATGTAACCCAATACATCTCATGAGGCTTCAGTTAGCTTAGGAAATTTATGTTTGCACTAAACCCACATACTATGCTAACAGTGCAAAATAATATTCATAAGTTTAAATAGCAATATTCATATTTATTTGAAACATTATAATTAATAACATTGATGAAATTAAATTTAAAAAATACTGTTATATACTTTCGGAATTACTATGCTCTCGCAGCGTAGACAGTCTAGTACAGAATATCTTGAGATCAAAGTAAACAATTTAGCACTTGTTCTCTGAACAGAAAGTGCTGTCAATCTTATAGTGCATTCGTCTGATTCCATTGTTTTGACTGGTTTTAATAAAGATTACCTTAAACTTGGTCTAAATTGCGTCTAATTTCTTACTTCTCCAAACACAGATACTCAGGTTTTTTGTGTTGAACCTCTTGTTATTTGTGATTGCTACTCTTATTTGAACAGGAAATTAGTACAACTGATAATATAACAGAGTATGATGAAATTTTGGTGCCGTGACAACAGAATTTGATATTTCAGAGTTTTATGTTTTTCTTCATTGAGTATATTTTTTTCATGTGATCATTCTAACTCTTGCATAGTATATGTTACAAACTTCGTACTAAAGAAAATGACATTTTCCACAACTTCAAGGATTTATAACCAAGAGTAAGTTTTTCACAGAGAGAATATGGCTGTCTGAGGGAATTGTTGGGTATAGAAAAAGCACAGATACAGGAAAGAAAAACATCCTGAGCCACAAAATACATTCGACATCTAAGGATCAAACACAGGGCACAGAAAGCACATATTACTGGGGGTTACTGCAGAGATTTGTGATCAGGTAGTTCTGAGATCAGAATTCCCAGACATAAATCAACCAAGGTTGTCTCAACCTCCATGCCTGGTCAAGTCACTAGTTCTCAGCTAGAGGAGACTAGAGGTGTTGCTGATATATGACATCTGCCAGCCAAGTTGAAGGCTTGAAAGAGTGGTCCCACAGAAAACTTGGTCACTTACATTGATGATTTGCACGGGCAGACACGACATCTGCAGACTGTGAGGATACGATAATTTCCTTTCAGGCACATTGTGCTACCTACTATATTAAGAGTAAAATAAATAAAACAATACTTTTGGGCACAATAAAAGATAAATTTATTTATTGAAAATTTCAGCTGACTAGTTTCGTAACACATTTACCATAATCGGCCCTGAGGTTGATGATGGTGTGTCGAACTTGTTTAACGGTAGAGAACTTTAGTTTAACTACAAAATACAACTGCTCATGTCACGTTCGTTGCACACGTGACCTAGAGCCATACTCGTTCTAATGTAGGGTAGTAGGTATTTCCAGGCCATTACCCAATTTGTTAACAGAAAAGACAACCTTTTATCTCAAGACGCCATAGTAACGTAACTATTTTCCCTGGAAGAGAGCATGCCTTATGGCCAATTAGTAGTTCAGTCTCATGTGCTTCTTTTTACACATTTTAGTGGGTGTAAACACATCCTCTACAACCTTGGTTCCCACAACCATGCCCGAAATATGAGTATACAGAACACATCGTTTTATATTTCATTGTTAAGCTAATCACTGTATTTTTCCACTAAGTGTATCAAATTTCAATATTTCAAGACAGAATCCATTAGTAAGCTGAAAATGTGTACTCTGGTATATATCATATTTATGTACATAATTAAGTATACACAAACTGTTTGAAATACGTGAACATGCTAATACTGTCAGACTTAAGAATATATTGTCACATATTAATTAACCAATGCATACATTAAGTATATAATGTATCAACACAGCAGCTAGCCTAATTTCTATGTCAACCAATGTCACTGTCATTCACATTTTTCATGTGCCACAAAGTACCTGTGAATGTCTCCAAGATCCACCTGAAAGAGTTAGAATTATTCCAACTTATAGAAATAAAACTAAACACTATACAGATAACCAGAAATAGTCTATTCTGCTATAAAGATCCAGAAAACATTGATTTTTCAATTTACTGACTGTCCTTACTGTTGGTAAAGAATTTAATCCCAGCCATGATGTTTAGGGATCATTGTTTACATACTGATAAATCACCAGAGCAGGTTGGCTGCTCCTCTACAGACACCTCCTCATTCTTAAAAAAAAAGCATGTTAGAAAAAGTTAAGTTAGATTGAGTGATTGTCAGTTTAGCCTTAGCTGTAATGGGCGATATTTTAAAGTGAGTTTCACAGTTTAACAGAGATAAGGAGAATAATTTGTCTTGTCAAAGGGGGTTCTAAAGTATTTGAACCCGCCTGTGTGGACTTTGACGAAAAGAAGACAATTTAAGGTTCGGGATACAACTGTGATAACCCAAGGGGAAACGTAAGTGAATTATTCATTGATACTATTGTGATAAGAGTAGAGAAAGATAATTCGTCTTTTCCATTGAATTCTAAAGTAATTGAATCAGCCTGTGTGGATTTTTTGACAAGAAAACAGAGTTATTTAGAGTTTTAGATACATATCCTATAGTATAAAGAATTTTTGTATATACGTTTGACTTGTTTTGAAAATATTCTTTTAAAACAAGTGGATTGTGTGCTGTCCGTTTATTTTTAGAACTTATCGCCAACAAGTTACAGACACCTACTATAGAAGAATCCCAGCCCACTCCCACATTTAAAACCCTGACATACACTTTTGTTTGAATCTCCTGTTATTTGTGGGTGCTATTTTTATCTGAATGGGAAGTCTGTAGAGAGATTACGAGATAGTTAGACTTCGAACATTTAAACTCATTTTGTCATGATGATTAAAAATTGAGAAAAAGGATGATACAATATATTAAAGGTGAAGACCAATGATTCTAGAATCAAGATTAGTGCCCTAGAGTTGAACATAATTTTAAAGCGGCCAAAGCAGTAATCTAATATACTTCTTTTTTTTTCAGTTTGATTTTAACTTAAAGCCGGATTCGGTTTCGACACCTTTGAGAACTGTGTCTTAGAAAAGACTGGTTAAATAAAATATTAATAAAATGTCAGTCCTATGGTTGTTGAAACGTTCTCTCGGCCTGTCATGGCCCAGTGGTTTGGGTGCTTGACTCGCAATCTGCGGGTCGCTGGTTCGGACTTCTGTCATCAAACATGCTCGCCATGGGGACGTTATAATGTTTTGATCAACCCCACTATTCGTTGGTAAAAGAGTAGCTTAAGAGTTGGCGGTGGGTGGTTTAGACTAGGTGCCTTCCCTCTAGTCTATCACTGCTAAATTAGTGACGACCAGCGCAGACAGCCCTCGAGTAGCTTTGCGCGCAATTAATAAAACAAACAATGAAACCTTCTCAGTGACATATTTTAAAATTGCATTAAACCTAAACCTGGTTTCGACATATAAGAAAACCAAAAGACACGTGTTATTAATCATGATGGTTATCTCTTCAACTCCGGCAACAGTGTTTATTTTGTGTGCAGAACGTTTTTATATATAATTTTGTTATAATGTTGCGATTTTTGCTGCGTAGTTTTAAGGCCACTAATGCGACATTTTTAGACCTATTGCTCTCAGTGACGTAACTTATTATCTTGATGTACATACATGTATACTTTACGGACCCCTAATACCAACTCACTTGATGAAAATAGTTTTTCCAATTCTTGCAAATTAGAGCTAAAAAACAGGAGTTATTAGTTCTAACAGTAATTGTGTGGTTGTTTAAGACTCATAACGTAGGTAAACTAATATGTAGAATTATACACGGACTCTAAGTTAAAATACGTTTACTTGCGAGCTAATTGTAGGTGTTAAAATATTTCTTAATTAACACGAAACAATTATTTTTATAGTTAAATAGCAGGGGTGTAAGTATTTACTTACCGAGATTTCATCCTCCTCCTGTGTGCTTTAGAAAATATAAACAAAGCAGCTGTAAGACTATATATATGACTATCTTTTATACAATACTCTTATTGCAATACATATTGTTTACTTGAATTATATTGTGGTAAGTTTCTGATGAGAACAATTAATTTTACACAGCCATAGATATCATATTATCAATAGTTTGAGTTAGTCGAAACATTTTGAAATTAACACCTTGTTTTGAAAGTAACCTGTTTTTTTAATATCAAATATACGTACATTAGTCGTCAATTAGATGATATTACTCAATATTTTGTATGTTTAGTTTTCTAACTAATTCCCTTGTTGAGGAAACTTTTGGCATGCTTCTAATATTTCCTAACTTTGAGTATATAAACATTTCTGCCCAACGATCGACGAAATAAATGATTTAGGCACAGAAAGATCATCCACAAATAATTCACTGGACTTGTTTACGGAAGTATATCCATGAAACCTTACTAAGAATGTTGACTTGTATTGATCTTCATTCATGCCTTTACCTCATTCTACTTACACGTATCTTGAATAAATATTGTCAAAGTTTTCATGTTAGATGTGTGTAAAAACAAATAAAAAAATGCTTATGAAAATGTACTGAAAGAAATTTGGGTCGAATTTTACACGTAGACAATAACACAGAAAATTTATATAAAGTAGATAACTTGAGCAAAATGATATTCATAGGATAAATCAAGCTGCTTACAATAATGCACTAAGTATAAGACTCTTGAACAAGATATGTAGCGAAGTGAAGGAAAACGTTTCGAGTAGCAGTTATTATAAAAATGATAATAATAATTTTCTTACTTTGTGTTTAAATATTTATTTTATACAATCAAAATACAGTCTTCACAGATGCAAGAGAAAAGTTATTATTGAATTTTTTTTAATTGCTGAAAAATACCATCTGTTTATTCAGAAACATTACGCTGTCACAATAGGAATTATTTGTGTTCTTACTTTTTCATATTCAATAAGTATGTCCTTGGAGCAAATTTGAACAATGGTGTTTGAGAAATGTTTGAATAGCCTATGTTATAATTTCATTTTTCCAAGATAAGTTATTCAGATATTGTACAAACACCAGGAATTCTTGATTAAGTGTAGTATTGCGCATGCTTAAAATAAGGGGCCGTCTTACAAAGCAACTTCAATAAAACGTTTATAGTCGTGTAGGGTTGGTTTGAATTTTGCGCAAAGCTACACGAGGGCTATTTAGCAGTGAAAGACTAGAGGGAAAGCAGCTACTCATCAACTCTCGAGACATTCTTTACCAATGAATAAGGGGATTGACCGTTACATTATAAGGCCCCCACGGCTGAAAGGGCGAGCATGTTTGGTGGGACGGTGATTCGAACCCGCGACCCTCAGATTGCGAGTCAAGCGCCCTAACCACCAGGCCATCTAGTGGGAAAAGTCGAAACAGCAAAACAATTGTTCAACATGTGTAAAAAGCGATCCAGCAGTGTTTAGGGGATGTCATTTTTCTTGGGGAATCCGCGTCACCATAGAGCACTGCCGGGCGATAAAGCATGAAATTACACTCTGTGTTTAGTAATGTGAGCTACATTAATGTGATCATTCCCAGTGAATAGGTTTGTACGTAGTATAAAAATAATGTTAGAAATGCCATATCAAAGGTACGTGTGTCAGTATATTATAGTAATTATTTTATGTAGTAACCTCCTTGTGTCTATTTCCTGGGGAACTACTGAAGGTAAAACAAAAATCACCTGATGAAATGTTTTCGTGGGTGGGTAGTGGTGTCAGTAAGATAATCCTAGTGCTATAGGCTACTAATATTAAAGTGAAAATAACCATGAAACGTAAACTTCTTATTCCTGGCGAAGGAACCTGGAAAATGGAGCAAAAGTCAGGAAAGCTTGTAAGTGATTAACATCTTTGTGCTTTAAATCAGAAAGACATTGGCGAAAAAATTGGGGTAATCAAAAATTTAGGAACAATGATAGGGAAATTTGTTATAAAGTGATTGCAGAAAATATTCTTCAGTCCAAAAAAGCTAGGTTGTGCACCATTAGACATTCATACAGTAATATTTGATGATGACAAGGTTATAGAAATGGCATTCCAAGTGTGGCATCAAAGGTTGCAGAAATAAGTTAGGCAGAGAGCAGCTCCTACGTGCTCAGACAAGGAAAGGTGAACTGCTTCCTAATCACGTTTATCTTCAAGGGAATTTCACATTCAGGTATCACAGAAGACTGTACAGTACTAAAGAGAACACATGAAAGTGTCGAAATTAGTTTCTTGGTGTTTATGCTAATATTTTGTTCCAGAAGTATGTTGTTGTTTTTTTTTGCGGTAATTCAGCTAACGTAAACGGTATTGTTTATTTAAATTAATATTACTTCTGTTGTTTTATTGCTTCACACACAATCATGGGCATCCGCAGAAATGTTCCAGGGGTTTGTTCTTTTAGGTTCGTAACCCTAAAGAGTAATTTCACCTTATATAAAACTACTTCTTATATGAAAACGTAATTTGAAGTTACATAAAGCACAATATTTCAATGGCATTTATTGTGTATGAATGGTAAGGACAACAAGACTGCGTCAGTATCTTTGATAACCTGCTGCCGGTATTACTGGCAGGTAGCAACATGTTGACCCCGATCACACTGTGCCAGGGCTCAGAGGATGTTGGCAAGGCCTCGTTGGTCTCTTTGATGACCTGAGTGAGAAATACCATGTGCAATATCCAAGTAGCTGTCGTGGTAGCGACGTTTTTGAATATTTAACTACAGGATAGGTATCTAGAGATTTGAAGTAAAGCTGCTGACAAACCTGGCGACTTTTGTTAGAATTGAAAATTAAGTGAAATAAGTAATGTGAAATTGTGAAGTGAATAAAAAACGTGTAAATTCATATACATATGCTGAATGAATAAAGAAAGAATTATGTTTCTTATTTTTCTGGGGGGGGGGGGCAAGTGCCTCCTTACCCCCCACTCCTGCGGACGACCACATACACAATCAATCCTCTTAGACAACATAAGGCTGGAGGAATTCAGAAAGGAATAGAAAATACATTAGAAGGAATCATTTTAGTTGTCAGATTTAAGGAAGTTATTTCTGTGCTTATTCCAGGAGTTTGGTTCTAGTTTCTCAGGAAATGTCAACACTACAAGACTGAAAGAGAGCTTGCTCGGTATGATTCCAGGTTTGAGAGCACAATCTCATGGAAGAAATGAGACATTGATAAGATTATCTAAGTTGCATTTTCTCGTAATTCTAATGACAATGCAATTCACTTGTGTGTGCTGCTTAGACTGTGCGAAAGTAAATTATTTCCAAAAATTACTAATTTGATGGGCCTTTTCGATTTGGCTGTAACCAAAATGTAGTTTCATAAAGAGTTTTTGCTCTGGTGAGAATGATTTTATATGACAACAGTATTCTAGATCAAAATGATGCAAAATATCAAAAGATGCTAAGATGAAAATAGCCTTATAATCGTCAGAGCTACTAATTTTAACTCATCCCCCACCCCCAAAAAAAGAAGAAAAATCATCTGAATCGTTAGTTCATCAAGCTAAATCCAGAGAAACACCACTTTCACTTTACACCAGTTATTATAAAACCAGACAGAGAGATTTGCAGTCAAGAACTATGCATTTCAGTGATAGATATTAATATATACAAGCCTAAAAACAGTGTATATACCTGTTCTGATCAAGATATATGTTTTTCCCTCCCTTATTGTGGGGCCTGTTGACTGTTTAGATAATAATTTCTCAGCTAACATAACAAATGATTCTTTTCACGGTAAATCCATCACCTCTGTGATCCAGTTTTCCACAGCAGACAATCAGAGCACAGATAAAGACACTGTATTTATCAACCCAAAAATTATCTACAAAACAAAATGTACAAATGTCTTACCTGCAGAATATTCTGAAGTACCCCTGGCTGTACTAATTACTTCAGAGTCTACTGCCCCCTGTGAAAGATCTAGTAATAGTATAGTCAGCCACAATACTTACCTTCAGAGAGAAAGAGAACTGCTGGATTACCGTATGACAGAACTGCTGGAGAAACAGGTGAGTGATACTGGGGATCTTATTTTGTGGGCAGCTTACCGTGCAAACAAACAACCACCTACTTCTTATTTTGTGTTACCCGTTGCGCTCATAGCTCTGTTGACGGAACAAGCTCGTTTCAGTTATGCTTCTGCCTGTCATGAATCTAATATAGGAAATCACATTTCAGCAGAGGCCATGAACCAGCCATTGTTTGCTAAAGGAGTTCACTTGAGAAAAAAATATGTGGTGATGATGGAAAACTTTCACGTAGAGATGAATGTGCTCAAACTTTTAGGAAATTGGCCAAATGGCAGTAGATGTACCTGTGTTCTTGTACAGGCTGATATCACTATTTGTATTAGAGCTGATTCTATATTGAAAGAATCCCATGTCACTAGGCAACAGCAGTAGCAGCATTACACCTACTCAGGCATATGAGAAATATACTGCAAAATCAAATACCTCTTGATTTCAGCACATGGTGTAGCAACAAGTGTAATCAGAATTCACAGCTCCTGCACTGGTTTAAGGTTTCAGACATTGAGCTTCTGGATATGTACTTTGTGCATTCTTCACAGGAAAGAGAGAATTTGAGTTGTATGTTCAATGACCTGTTTGTCCGTGATCACACTAACCATGCGATGTTCATATGTGGTTTAGTTGCCAGCTAGAAAACTATCAATCTATGCAGAGTTCGTGAGAGGTCACTTTTTCGTTCAGAAATCAAGCCACATTTTCTACACCATGGTCATTGACTAGGCTAATGGGCAGATGAATGAGAAGTTCAAGAGTGATGGTGGTGTAATTGGTTTAACGGAAAACTCCACTTCACTCCTTCAGTGGATTTCTGATAGACCATAGATTCAAAGGGCTGTAGAAAAGTTTGAATCCAGCTCCATAGCTTCTGACAACGTACAGCTATTAATCACAATGAGCGAGTGGAGGAGTCCAGAAAGTATTCTCTAGAAATCTTAAAACGACGATCTCTACAATTCAGGAAATGGGCATTCCATTTCCAAAGAATGGTGAGGAAGTGTTGGTTTGGGACACAAAGCATGTCATGAACAAAGATTTTATCACAACAGTTCAGATCATCGATTTAACAGGACAGCAACAGTATAATGCAATTGTTAAAAAAAAAGACGTGTCCACTCCAATTACTGATATCATCCATAAGAACCAATTGTTCCTGTTTAGCGAATCATTTACAAACAACTAGTGATGGGCAGCACACCAAACTATAACTCCCTATAATAACTGTGAACTGTTTGGCAAGATGCATACATCATGCCAGTTTAGAAATGAAGATATGTTTCAATTCTTCAAGCAGAAGAATGAACCTACTCCACCTATCTCATCTTATAAGAGGCATATTGATATAATACACAAAATACGATCTCTGACCCACCTCAAAACATGTGCTCTTTCTATAAATATTGCTCCAACTGACAATTTTAGGATATTGGATGGTTCTGTTGTTAGTCATATGTGGACACCAAAAGGCTGTAAATTTTTTTATTAATACGGATAATGTATTTATGCCACGCATACTCATCCAGTTGTAATCAATGAGCCATCTAGACGTTATATTGGATTGCTTCCTTTCTCATATTTTTTATTCAAAATTCATCTAAGAAGAAAAGGGGGAATGGGTTCTGTCTTGTGGCGAGAAAATTGACACCAGTTCCTAAAAGTGGCACAGTTTTCTTCGAACGATATAATTTCAAACTCTTTTAATCATGTTATCTTAAGCATGTTTTGCTTCATTACCGAATTAAGATAAAACTAGTTAAAAGGTTGACTTATAAGAAAAAGATTAATAGATTTAAGCAATTATAAAGCATGTTAAAATGTTAAGTTGTGCATAATGTTTATACATTTTTCAACTAGAGGTTATAGTTATTTCACAGAGTGTATTATCCAATGTCTTGTGCGGCTTGAAAGAAGTGATGACTGAAATTACTGTTAGATGCACTTAAAAAACAAACTCATGATTAAATACATACGGGATCTTTTCTGTTTCATGAACCGCGTTCAAATAGAAAGAAATATATATTTTTGAATGTAGTTTTTAATACTGATTTCAGAAATATAGAATAAAATTTGGAGAAATGAAGTTTGTAATTATAGTGTGTACTGGGTACAAGTAGAATTTTTTATAAGTGTTGCCGGATTTCATTTACAAAATAGCTATAGTTATTTAACTGTATTCTGAGTCCCATAATATCATCATATCATGTATGACATGATCTTATTTTAAAAGAAACATTAAAACTACTTATGTTCCAATTTTAATATTTTTTCACATTTTTGAATGATTTTCACAAGAACTTGCTCCACTATTAGGGGTATTATTTTTATGATTTTGTTATTGTTTTCTCAGTCCAAAGCTACATATTAGGCTATTTGCACTTTGTCCACCGCGGGGAATCAAACCTCGGGTTTTAGCATTGTAAGTTCGTAAACTTATTGCTGCTCATATGGAACTATTTTATTATATGTATCAAGAACGTGTACAAAGTAATAGGCCATTTACTCACATGGAACTATTTTATTATCTGCATCAAGAATGTGTACAAAGTAATAGGCCATTTACTTTCATGTAAGAAACAATTGCGGAGTTTAATTTATATATATATATATATATATAACAAATTCAATAAAAGAACGTATTCTTTCCGTTTTAAGTCTTTTTTTTTAAGTAGAAATGAAATGTTTCATTAGTTTAATTTAGAATTTAAACATTGTACTGATAAATTCACACTGCAAAATACAATCTGATAAAGTCAAATGTCATTGACCAGAATAGAGTATAAAAGTTTTTGTTCCAATGATCAATCGATATGAAGTCGCATGTTAAAAACTGAAAACAGTGGTGTTATTATTGGAGTAATAAATGAACAATATTAAAATTAACATTTAAAATTAATATGAGACCAAATGAAATGAATGATTTTTAGTCTAATTAACATACCATTAATTCATATAAATATGATAACTAAAATATAATTCACAAATTCATTGTTCTAAGTCACATAATACCCTCTGATAAAAATTAAATACAAAACATTATTTGCAATAAGTTTTATCTCCCTTTCATTCTTCATTTTCACACATGTGGCACCATCTAGTTATATATAAAGCAGTTTATGCAACCACTATAAAAGAAAACGTACCCGAATAGAAGTAAGTATTTAATTTGGAATTAATAAGTATATTATCAGATCGTGAATTTGAAATATTTCAACAAACAGAAAATTTTTAAGCAATTATCTTCCATAAATAAATAGAGAAAACGGATCAAACTCGAAACTTACGGATCTGTTTGAACTAGCATTTCTTTTGTTGATGGTAATGGAGCAACAGCTGTCACAGTCTTGACCTGAGGAGGCGGCATAGGCTACAAAGAATCGCTATGAGTTATCTTCGAGATGTGATTTTAATTTTATTGGAAAAATTAATTATAACTGCAGTCTTTTCCATTACTTTTTTAACAAGCCAATCAAATATCCCCTGTTCCTACTTTTAAGAGAGAAAATGACACAAAAATCAGGAATATAGTTACAGAACTGACCTACCAGCTTGTTGACATTTATTCCTTCTTTCAGTGACTCATGCACAATTTCTTCGGCCAAGTCCTCTTGGATCACATCTTCTAAGAACAAACCAATAACTTCACGGGCAAACTTTTTATCCGTGCTGAATCTCTGCGCTGTTATCTAAGTGTGTATATGAACATAGGATTAAACTACCAGCTTTTGTTGTCACTTGAACAACGTAAAAAATAAGCAACACTCGCAATGAGCAGTTTGGGTATCACAGAAACTAAATTTATAAGAAAAATGGAAATCAGATCATTTTCTAAACTTCTGTGTCACAGGAACTAAATACAGGGATCGATAATTATTTGATGTAAAAATAAACAAACATAGGCGGAGGAACCAGGGATGCAGGAGGCGGAAGTCTCTCAGGTCTATGCCTGGTAGGGCCAGTTTAATACTTGTTAATTATTTTAAGGCTGTCATACACTAAATGTTCACGCGTTACGTTGTATAGTTCAGGAATTGCTCCACTTGAGCATGTGGAGTCTATAAATGCCATATTTTTTGGGAATGATACTCTCTGATCCTCCACCCCAGGTAGTATTTTCTTCCTCCGCCCTGTGACATAGCAAAAGTGTGTTTTATTAATGAATTTTAACGTTATTCATCATTTCAATACGGTATGATGAGGAATATCTATATGGATTGGTCCAGTAACGGTCTCGATTCACCCACTCGTTATTTAACAACAGACACACTTGTAACTTACAGGTCATTTTATGAGTCAACACTTCACACTAAACGTTTTTCTTTTGCAATAATGCACTGTTAACAGTGATTAAGTATGGAGTGGCAAGACTTAGTACAGAAGTCTGCATTCAGGCCATGGAATTCTTTAGTGTTTTCAGTTCGTTTTGATCCTATGATTATCTGTCAAACACCTCTTTTTTTATATTCCCAGACAGAAAAATACACTGGCGTGATTTTTCTGTAAAACTCGACTGGACCTCAAGTTAACTAGAGGCAACCGACTTTTGGGTCACCCTATATTATGGGGTTGTATAAAATGTAAAAGTTAGCTCATCATATATTTTACAGTAACAGGTACTAAGTACATAATAAAAACCTATTACAAAACTGAACAATTTAAACACATGGACCTGGTATTAAAATATAATCAGAAACATCTTAGGTGTGAAAAAATGTTCGGCCAAAAAAAAAAAGACTAAGCATGCGAGTTAAAGGAATGAAATCAAAATTGACGGCCAAACTGATAGCTACGCTTATAGCATTAATAACAATTTGACAGAAAATACTCATTCATTAGTTAGCCAGACTGCGTTTTTTGTTCAACTTGGGGCATGATGGTGGGTAAAACAAAATATGCGACCAACCTAACTAATTTGGAACAGACCTATAGTTTACAAAACCAATCAAATTCTTTAAAATATGTGGTGGTACTATTTCCCTATCTAAAACAGTGTTAATAACTTCCTTCAAAGTAACGCCATGGAATATACATTAACAGTTTCTTGTGATCGCCCACATGCAATCGGTGCAGCCGTATCAAGCATCATTATTTACACTAATTGCTTAAACTAATATCACGTGACGCTAAACATTTTTAATCAGGAAAATTTCATACAATTTAGTAAGTTTGTGCTGAAAAGTTGGCAATGAATTATCAATAATAATCGTCCACCGGTATGATTCTTTTGAAAACTTGACCTAGTATCTACTAATGTACTTTGCTTGGCCTAACCAATATTTATGTGTCTGCACGTCCTTTCACCTTATAGTTTTGATGCTCTAAATCAAACTTCTTTATTCTGAATGACCAAAAACAGTCAACTTTTACTCTTAGGTAGTAAAACATTTAGACCGATAGCTCACGTGACTTTTTGCGTAGGCGTGCGCAAAAATTGTAGTCAAATTTGAGCGTTTTTTTAAAATAATTTTGCACATGTAGCTTATATTTAGACCAAATTGTGTTTAATTGCAGTGATGATTTAAATGTCTAAGCTGCGGAAGCTTTTTAAAAGCTTAACAGATTATATGAAACATCAAATTAGGATGCAAATGTTATTTTATTTTCACAGTTTTCTCAGTTTATTCAGAATTGTCCTTCGGTTAGTCTGCAACAAGTCTATGTAGTTACAACGCTAAAATCCGTGGTTAGAGTCGCTGCGGTGGACAGGGCTCAGAGAGCCCATTGTGTAGCTTTGCACTAAAATTAACGAAAGAATTATTCAGAAGCCCTAAATATAGGGCTGGGATAGTTACTTGTGGCACTATGCTCAATTTTGTCTTATTACATTGAGAAGGAGGATCCTCTAAACCTAAATCCAGACGTATTCATGTAACAATTAATTTCTACTCCCCTTCATAGTTGGTTTCGGAAAACATTAGTCTTAAAAATAATTGCTCTATAGTCTACTACCGTGGAGCATTCTTAGAAGAGAGGTTAAAAGTATTAAGTTAAAAGCTATCACTCACTTTGCTTTGGAAAGATTAGGTCTTAATTAACCTTCACAAAAGCATTTGTAATAGATTATATTTATTTTAGTCTTGACTTATAACTGTAACTAAACACATTATCCTTTGCCATATTTCTGAATAAATTAATTGTTAAGTTAAAATAATTATGACAGTTGAAATTGTTTTTATGGTAATTGGTTATTTACCCGGAATTAGTGAAATACAAACATATTGTGCTGTCTTTTTTTATTATAGATTCACTTGTATATTTTTCTTTTTGACCGAATCCATCTGGTGTATTACAATGTAAGCCTAAAAAGATAACTAAGTATAACAATCTTTGGCATTCCATGACTTGCATTACAGAGTTCAAACCATTAACCTCTAAATTATTCGTAAGTCTAAAAGGGAGAGACATTAAAACCAAAACATTTAAATTGTATTTACTGGACAATAAATTATTGCTTCCTAGGTATTCGGGAAGGCTAGATAAGAAATTATCATTACATGACTACATAATTGAAATGAAGTGTTTAATTAGGATATTAATGTTTGTAATATATTGGCTTCTCAATAATTTTTCATTCCTCCCATTTTATAAAATGACTTGTATCAAGGACAACATAAAGCAACAACTGATTTGTTCTCCCTTTACGACAATAACCTTCATATTCTTTTAATCTATTGGAAGGAAAACATTTCCTTCGACCACATGGACGCCCACAGAAATATTTTCAGGGAGGGGGGCAAACACGTGTATGTAGGGATCAGCTTTTACAGTATAAGTCAGCAGACTAAAAAAATACGTTTTATATGTGCTTAAACGCAAACACAAATGCCCCCCTCTTACCCCTTCCTGCGAACGCCCATGTTTGACCAATATAAACTTTATAATAAGAAAAAGTATAAGTACCCTACTTTTGATTGTCAGTAATATACTGTTTCACATGCTTAGACTTTTCATTATTCTTTTTACCTGTTGGATCTTAAATCCGCCTTCCCACCAGTGACACAGCGATATGTCTGCGGAGTTATACCGCTAGAACCCGGGTTTCGATACCCGTGGTGGGCAAAGCACAGCTAGCCCATTGTGCAGCTTTGTGCTGAACTACAAACAAACCTTAAATCCGCATTTCTCTAAATTTAAGCTATATCAACATTATTATTTTTTTGTTACGCAAACTTCCACAAGTAAACCTTTGTTTATATAATTATTGAATGTAATACTGCTGGGAATAGTAATATTAATGTGCTAACTTAACATTATTTGTTTAACATACAGCAATATCATATGATCTGTGCATTCTTTCATTTTAATCTTTGTAATAAAAATTTCTTTATTATCAAATTTAATGAACTAATATATATCCATACCATATTTCAAGAGATATTAATATAATTATTAAAAATAGTTAGGATACATAAGTGTTAAATTATGCAATGTATAACATATCAATTACAATCAAATACTGCATGTGTTTCTTTTTATTTAACGGGATTTTTGGTACTCACCTTCAAATTGTCATCCTTGATTCGCTTGATTGATTTCTTTTTTTCCAGCCTGAGGTCTACGTCTTGTGACACGGTGTAAGGACATGGATGAGGGTCACCAATATCAGGTAGAAGAATGATGGATCTCATGTCTCGAACTTGGAATCAATACGACCAGGGCTTGATAACACAATACAAATATCGTTCAGCATAATAACTTATAAAGATTACGATACGGTGCTCAATTTTCAACGTTTTTCTATGCTTTGTAAAAAAAAGGAAGAATTTTATTATAATTACTGACAATTATTTAGTAATACACGTACAAGAGAACGTTAGGGATAGATAGCATCATGTTAAGTTTTTGCCAAACAAATTTCAACGACATCGCAGTAGTTGCTACATGCTCTTCCTGTGGCAATTTTCACTGTTGTATCTGGTAATACCATATTTTGAAATTTTAAACTTACATAAAATATTATATGTATTAGAGGTACTGTTTTTCACTTACGGGTAAACGACAAGTTAATTTAGTCACAGTGTGTTAACATGAGATAGTTAATTTTTAGCGTCACAGTATTTCATCTAATAATCCACTCTTAGTGTCTTGACATTTCAATCAAAGGACACAGGAAGCTCAAAAAAAAGTTTCATTTGTCAAAACTAGACAGAGGACAATGATCAGTAATTGGAAACCATTGTGCCATATTGAGAAAATATTAATTTTGCTGCATTGCACGAACTTGTAGTTTGTAACTTTGACAAAAACCAATAGATCGATACCTTCAGCTTTTCAGAAATGCATATTTATTAGCGATACTAATATAAAAGCCCGTCAGAAATGACCATAAACCATTGTTAAATGATAGAAGTTAACTAAAACGAATTTGTCTGTACCTACAAAATGCATCTACTCTTCATTTATTTCATCAGTCTGGAAGTAATTCTTTAATCACTACATTTTTAGTAAAAACTACACAGAAAAATTAAATGTTATCGTGAACAAAAGTACACATGCATTCTGAAAGAGACTTAAATAGAACTCTTGAGCCTTGTCACTGCATTCTAGTTCAGGAAGTAGAAAACATAGTGCGAACATTTCGACACAAATTTTCAATTCTTTCGACTGTACAAAGGATAAATGATATTTGGTACTAATAAACGTTTATTTTCTTTATTTTTTAAAGCCAAATAGTTAATATGTGTGTTAAAATACCAAAATAATATTTATCAATTAACATCTATTCACCACTTAAAACGTTTTAAACACTGACTCTAAAAGGTTACTAATAGTAGGCCTATTTATAGTCTAATTTAATAAATAAACATAAAGTAAGGCTTAGTTGAAACACTACTTGGTAAATTTCATTTTGCTTTTGGCTACAACTTAATGTCATAAAACTTCTGAATTAAACTATTTTGCTGTTATATCACCGAAGAATGAAAAAACAAACCTTTCTAACAAATCAACATTAATATTGAGCATTCAACATAAACACCATAGTTGGCTTAAGAACAATCAGGAGATAATTTTGTTGCTAAGCCACGAAGTATATTGTTGAGCATTACCAAAAATGGAGCGTGAAAGCGTTCTCAACAGAGTGACAAAGAGAATAAGCTTTTTATAGTTAGTTAAGTGGGAGTAAGCACATTCCAGGTGGTTATAGATTGTAAACTTAAGAATAAACGTCGCAAAAGAGTGAAAAATGGGAAAATTGTGGTTTTGTTTGGCACAATTATTTTCTTAGCTTTTAATTCTTCCGTCATTATTACAGACGTAATCGAGTCACAATGAAATTCTTAACTTTACTTAAAAGTGGTTTACATGCATATCTTATTATATATCCATATTTAATTACATTAAGGCTGATGATGATTTTAATAGCTCATCCTTTACTAGCCAAATATGTTGTCATACAGTCTTTTTAATGATAATTCACGTTCAGTCGAAAAGAACAATGATGTATTTGTTTGTAGTAAGCATAAAGATACCAGGGGTATCGAAACTCGGTTTTTAGCATTATAAGTCCGCAGACTTACTGCAATATCACTGGAGGACATAATGATGCTGAGACTTTTGTTAGTGTTGTTGTATCCTAATATTATTCCAATTACACATTAATGGGCCCATTTAACTAGTCTTGGTGTTATGCATCATAAGTCTTGGTGTGTTTTTTTAATGATTTCTATCAAAAGCATTTCAATAAAGTAATGGTTGTAATTTTGACAAACAGTACAACTGCAAGCAGTTCCTTCTCTACTGTACAGTATCAGTTTCCAGGAGCAGTGAACATAAGGCTCATAGACGTGATAACACGGTATATACTTTCCTGTACCTGTGACAAAACTGCTCCGATGTTACACAGGCCCAAGTGCTTAAAATAGCCTTACATCTACTTTCATCATGATCTAGTTCAACATGCAAGCAGTCAGAAACCAGATTTAGTGTTCTATGGCAACTGGCACCTTCAAATGCACCTAGATATTCGTTCTAATGTGATAGTGGGAAGGTATTGATACATGTTACTAAATTCACCCATCTAAAGTGCACAAAGCACCTTGGTATTCCTTTCTTGTTTTCTACCAATAACCACTGGAAATTATCAGGCACTTGCAGAAGGTTGTATTATTCTTTCCTTTAAAAACACTCAAAGTCAGCACTCACAACTTTCCTGGTGTTTCAAGGAAGACTGCACAGTGATTGTTTTATTAGGCATGCATCATTTGTATTTATGGGATGATGAATGATTTCCATTCGATTTAATCAGTAATTTGGTCTCAAAAACACACCAGCAAATTCCTTGAGCATTTCACTGGGTTCATGTCTGTGAGTTGAGTTTAGACTGTTAGCACAATCCTCGGCTAGAAACATCAGGTACTTGAAATCTATATGTTAGCTGTTGGACTTGGTACAGTAGCTATGACACTAGCTACTTTGGCTTTCTGTGTCACTACTGCCTCTGTTACCGTGCTGATGACCATTTAAGGTGGGAGATGAAAGGACAAAGGCCTGTAGTTACAGGTTAGCACAGCTACAACACAGATAAGTATCCAAAACAATTGCATCTGGTTTACAAACAGAAACCAGTGTATTAATATGGTGGTTCTGTCACCACAGTATATGGTGCCAATATACTAGATTGTGTCCATAGTGCACAACTGAGCACAACTTGCATGTTTGATAGTGTAACTACTTCTTTTTAAATACGCATCTATACAGTCAACTATTCTCGAAATCAGATTGGTTGGCAATAGACAGATTTATTATAGAATTGCATTTCACCTGTTTCCCAGGTGAAACTCGTTGACAGTACCAAAGCTTGATTCAAGATGAGAAACAGCTATCTTTAATCAACAAGAGATATAGCCAACACAAAGTCAGAGACACGCCTCTCCAATCACATCTACAGTAGCTTGTCACCACTTGCCGCAATGAAGTTTGTACTAATTAGCGAAAATGGTGACTTTTCTTGAAGTGCTTGGTCGAGCAAGGCCCTGGCAGCTCGTGTATCCCTAGAAGTTCCATGTATCATTAACTAAGTCCAAACCAGACATCATAGCAATAGTAACAAGTTGACTGCTGTATACACCCAAACTGGTTGCTAGATCCAACTGTTTTGCAAAGGATATGGACATTCCTGTAACCAGTGGCCATTCAAGTCACAGTTAAAGCATAAAATCATTCTCTCATTTCCTGGCATCTTCGGGAACTCAACTTTTGTTGCATCAACAGTATAGCCACGACAACTGGACCTGAGAAGCCCTGTTGTCATATCTAAAACCATGATTATTGCACTATGATGTCAAGTGGCGTTTATTACTATATATTCAGGAAGCGGGGGAGTACCTCTCTTTTCAATCTGTCCTAGTAAAAATGCATCAAAATTAGGAAAATTATTCTCAGGAAAAGCAAGAGAATACATAAAATGTAATCCAGAACCCAAGAGCTTCCAAGGCCTGAGACCGGCCGTGGACCTCAGCCGTAATGTGTGCGCCTGTAGCGCATATTCCCTACAAGGTCAAATAAACTCTGCCCCTCCACTTATAATTTGCCTCCTAAGCCTCTGATATTTAAATTATATGAATTGAGAATACATTTTAACGTTTGGTTAGATTTAGACGTTGAAACTATGGATCAAGTTAAATACAAATTATGTTCAGATTAACAATATAAAATCCGATAAACAACTGCTCAGTCTGTAATATTAATTATAAGATGCCATGAAAAGTTTGCAAGGCAAAACACGTACATAGCTTCCTTCCATACATTATTCGATCGTTTTCTAAAATTTAAAAAAAAATCTCTCTTGTGCTTAACCAATACGATTTATATAAAGCATATATTTCCATTAGCTTGATTGCCATGATCTCACGGCCAAGAACAGTAAACGATTTTTCAAAGATACTTATTACCAGGGGTGAAATTCTGCCGGTACTCACCTGTACTGAGTACTAGAACTTATGTTTTAAGGCGGTACGAATACCGGGACTTATTTGAGCTGCTTTGTCGTTTTTTATGTTTACAGGTAAATGTATTTTATTTTTCAAAAACAGGTCCCTTCCCCCAGCTGAGTACTTCTACTTTTTTGAGAATTTTACTTCTGCTTATCACAATAAAATTCCTTCCTTTAACATTTTTACTCACCACAGAAGTATACTATTCAATGATGATTTGTTTCTATGCTAGGCTATTCTTTCTTCACCCAGGTCTCTGTTTCAATATAATACGGTTGCCATGGGATTTGTTGTTGTACACACAACGCGAGAGGGCCAGCTCACCATATCGACCAGGTTTGAATATGAAATACTTTGATCTGACATAATAAGGGCTTTCTCATTCTTGAAATACGGACATATTAAAATAATAAAACTTAATGATTTTCAATCTTGCTATCTACCCTAAACATATTAGAATATCTAAAATGTTGAATTTAATTGTCGGAAAGTTTTTCCTAAAAGTTTGATTTCGTGACAGCCTTTAGATTTGTTTTTGTTAATGATGAAAAGATACACCATAATTTAGATAAAGAACCTCGAATAGTGCCACCGACTCAACTATACATTCTATGGTCAAAACAGAAGTGTCTGATCAGTTAGAATTTCGTAAAGCAACACTGCAGTGCAATATTATTTTGTAAAGCTTCGACGTTTTTGAATTATAAAATTTAGAAATCTTATATTTTATTTTGATTTTAAAATATAATATCATTTTATATAGCCTGTTGAACTTGACTTGCTGATACATAAGAAATGTATATATTATTTTAAAATTTTTAATTTGTAGTTTATATATACTTCGTAATGGTCTATAGTAAATGTCTGTCCCTGAATAACTTACAACCTACATCTCAGAAGCTTCAGTGAGTTATCAAGACTGAGATAGTAAAGACAAACACGGTTCTTGAACAATTAACAGTTTCATTTTTGTTATATTGACGTATAAAACACACAACAGTTGTAGTAGCAACAAACTCGGAGCACAAAGTTACTACATATGTTCACTGTGAAGTTATAAAGCTAACGTATGTCATCTTTACCAAAAATTAAAAACCCGAGACAAAAGAGAAAGAAGTAAATTTAATTTGTGAATTCAAAGTTGTCAAATTTAACTAGTTGATTAAAGAATAGTCTGAAATAATATCCATTATCTTTCTATTCAAAACCAAATTAAAAGATAAGTGAATCCAACCACACTTCATGCAGCCAAACCACAGACACACAAAGCAGTATAATATGTATACAAATATGATAAGATAGAAAATCGTAACCAATAACTAAATATCAAAATAAAATCACTATCATATAAATATAAAATAAAACATGAAAATATTCAAAATACTAATTAGAAAATGCACAAATTAAAACAAAAATACAACAGAAATGATCTAAATACTAGTATTAAATGCATATATGTAAATTAGGAAATTTCTGCATATTATACCGAAATCGGAACACAATAATAATGTAAACGTATCATAATACAATAATATGTACTTACAATTAAATGCAAACTTATATGTGAATGTAAAATTCTAACAAAATAATATTCGCTCAATATGATGGACATGTGGGGCATCAAGGACGTCATTTTTTAACTCATTATAAGATGTTGTTTACTTGACTTTACTTGATTCCCAGCATGGCTACTCAGGGCCTGTAGCTCCTCTAAGAACCGGGCCAGCTCCTCCTACTCTGCTGTCTTCTAATGCCTCTTATTACTGATGTTATGGTCCAAAGCTGCCATCCAAAGTAAGTCTTGGCATAAGAGTATTGTCAAAACTCTACTTCGACAAACAATCAGGAATCTCTGACAGTCTGGTGAATGACAGTCAATTTTTCCTTTCTCTGGGAGCCTCACTACACATACTGTTTGAGTAGCAGGCCAGATCTCAGTGTCTTATTCTGTTTCTAAGGGAAGTTTCTCTTCCTTCTCTCTCTTCTTTTTTATTATTATTTATTTTTAATAGTAAAACAGCCTCTGATCCATCCAAATGACAATATGTTGAAATAGTACTTGGTCAACTTTATTAGTTTGTTCTGAGTTGGCTAACCATGTCAATTCTATGGCGCATTTTTGCGGGGATCTTTCACTAACTGTAAAAACTGTAACTTGTAATAAAATAACAAATATGAGATATACTTATAACTAGCAGAGATCCACAAAACATTTGTGGTCAGATTAGTATCTTTATTGCGACAGTACTTTTTTACATACAGGATTTATAGAATAATACAAAAGAATTATATTTCTAATCGCATACCCGGAATCTAGAAGTCCACTGGTCTTAGACCTAACATTAGTTAAGAGTTTATTATGTATGGCCTATATTCGATATAGATAAATTAACATTAATTTGTGTATGTTTTTTGCTTTAGTTTAGTTAGGGCTAAACTATATCGTACTTAATACTATTAATAAATAAACGTATAATGTAATTCTACGATCTAACGTTAGACCTTTTTTAAAAACTTTGATAAGCTTTTAATATGTCGTTGTACAAATTGTTTACTAAAGTATATCCGTCGAAATGAAGTGCGCGCGCTTGCGCATTTAGACAGTAAGGTGCGGGTGCATTTTCAGGACAGATAAAAACTGCGTATAATTATAATATATGTATCTAAAACGATCGCAATACAAATTAAAAGCTAGGTAATTTTTGAATGTTTCCACATTTCTCAAAGACCTCAATTATCAGTAAGTAAACTTAAAACGAAACCAAGAATTTTAATGTTTTTATTGGCGTAACTTACACCTTACTTAGTTAAAAAGCAACTTTTTGTTATCCTGTAAGGGACAAAAACAAAACGCCGCTACAATCACGGGGTCGAACAAAAATCAATTTATTGAACTGTAACAACAACAGAAATCCAAAATAAAACATTTTAACAATTGGAATGGAATTCAAGTTTTATCACATACAAAAAAATAAAAAAAAGTATATCCGTTCTTGGGCAGGACTTGTTAAAAACGTCAATAAACAATACACGAGCAACAATCAGCAGTATTTAGTTCTAACTATATCTTGTCAACTAACTAGTTTAGGATCAAGGAAGGGTTTTTATTTAGTGGTTACACCACGAAGTAACATCTCATGTGACTAGCTAATTTACATAATATTTTACAACATTAATATATGTACTTCCCCGCTAGAGGAAGGTTGTGTCTGTTTCATACAGATTCAATTTCAACGTGCTCTAGCTAGAAGGTGAGTTAGCGCTATAATAGTTGAACGAAACGATAGAAGGAATAATAATTGAACGATATATTTTTGAATAAAAAAGTAAAATTCGCTATATTACAATTCTACAGCTGAGAAGTGCATTACACCTGAATAATAAGTGATTCATATGCTCATTTAAGTTAGATTTTTTTGTCTTTTTTTATTACAGTAGGAGAATGAAGATAAGATGGCAGTATAACTGTCACATGTGATTTGACCAACAAATGAGCGCACAACAATTAAACACGGTTTATTATTCCACGTAAATGAATGCGCTTCTGTAAATATTCAGTGTTTTTGACGTCTTCCAAGCTTTTTTGTGGTATTACACCTGTTATAGTTATAAGATATTTATCATATCATTTTTCAGTATACTGAAATGCCACCTTAACTTATTATTTATTTTGTTTGAACTATTCCTTTTATGGTTAGCATTAACTTCTGATCGAACAAGCTGCTTACATGGGTCACAACTAAAATATATATTTTATAATGGGCGAAACCAATTAAATATAATACTTTTTTACAAGTTAGAGCTTTTATAATATGTTTTGAAGAATAATTTTATTTTTCTTCAAGCCCACAGTAAAAGTTGTAAGTTGTAAAAATATTTATCACGAGTAAGTAAACTCAAACGAAACAATTCAATTAAATGAAATGTTTAAACTAATATTTATAATAATTAGAACGCATTTTTTCATCAGTTGGATACCCGCACTGTAAATCATATTTTTGAAATTAATCTTAAATATGCCATTCCGTGAGAGGGCACCCCACACAGTTCAAGGCAGTTTTGTTTTAGTGTGAGTTGTAGGTTCGTGTTCATTCAACTTGTGTATCACGGTGTCGAATCGAAACTAATCGTGAACACTCTATAAGTGTAATCTATTTATTTTAGAATTAATCCATAATTTAATGTCGAAATCTTTCAGCCAATATTCACTCTGTTCTGTTTGTAAAACGAACCACTGTACTGGAAAAAAACATGTCTACTCCAGAAAACATCGTGAAACTGTTGAAAACTTGTTACGAAAGTTTAATATGAAGGTAAAGAATCAAACTAGAGTGAAATAACTAAAACTTTAGTAAAAGTAAATCTAAAACCTAAAGGCATTTTACCAAATTTTATTTTAACTTAAATAACGGTAAACATATACAGTTCTTAGTTAGAGTGAAAAAAATTGTATTGTTTCTATTTTATGTAACTTTAAACTTATAAAGTTAAAGTTGATAATATTGAAGAAACAGACTACCTCAGTACCTTTTAAGCTTAAAAATACACTGTACTAATAGTAATACTATATATTTAGTATTATACTACAATAATAACAATTTACACTGACACTGAGTAGCACTAGTATCATCAGTGGTTTACTTTCTGTTAAAAAGTGAAATAGGCCTGTGTAAACAATGTTCATGATCCTTTATAGTTTATTGTAAGAAAACATTACTATGAAATTGTTTTAATCTAACGATTTTCACTAGTGAGTCTATTTTTTTAAAATTGGTAGGTTATAAATAAAAAAAAAATTCTATGGAATCTTCAGACAGAGCTCAGGAGTTAGGTGAACTCCACAGTTTCAGCATTATAGATTTGATCTCTTGAAAATATATTTCTTGTACTAGTGTGTGTAAAGTTAAATGTTTAAGTAAGAGTAACTTAAAAACAAAGGTGCCAAAGAGTTGAATCGAATAGTAGAACCCTTTCTGCTTTTCACCAAGGTCTTAGGTACAAGGCTCTGGGCATCATAGAACCTCTGCACGCCACTGGCTACTAGGATGATACCTGGAATATGAGGATAGATTAACCCATTGAATGTGGCTGCCCTAAACATGCATGGAATTTATGCAAGCTGTACCCTGTATATGGAACGCTTGCATTAAACTGCAGGAAGTGGACCATACCCTATATGGCAAATCAGCAGTCAGTGGGTTAAAATCTCTGAACTTGTTTTCTCTTGAAAAAAAAAAGAAAGAGAGGGAATTTGTTTTAGGCATTTCAGATTGTTAAGGAAATTGACAGTGTTGATCCGTCATCTTTTTTATAGTTAATTGGGAGAATGCTAAGACTGGAACACAAAAATAAATTTTGGCAGGGTAGGAGTCATCCTCTGTAAGACAGCTTTATTTTTGTAAAAGGGTGGTTGGCCTTTGAAACAGGTTGTCATCAGATATAGTAGATGCAGTTAATTTATGGGAGTTTAAGGAAAAGCTTGATAAATATTTGAATGATAAAGGCTGGCTTTGGGGGATTTTAATATTTATTTTGATTTAACGGAGAGAATAGACTAGATGGACCAAAGTGTCCCTTGTTGTCATCTAGTGCTATGTTATGTTAGATAAATTCAGAATATATATATATATATATATATATTTGTACATACACACAAAAACAACTATAACTGTAATTTTTGAGTTATCTGATTGTTAATTGAAAGCTTTCTTGATACACACATATTCTAATGTTTTCTTAATATATATAGATATGATTAAATCTTAGTATATGAATATGACTTGTAACTGAGCATTCTCCCAAAATTTTCAGTTGGTTGTGTATAGCTTGCTTCTTTTTTATTGAAATTAATTGTAGATATGTTCATTTATTTATAAATTGATTTAGACAGTTGTGTAACAAAATTATACTGAATCAATAGATGTTCAATTATATAATTATTATTTTCAGATACAGGAAGGTTTATGTCTGTTACATAATCCAGTAATCCACGACATGTATTGGGAGCATACAAAGAAGTTTTGGTGTTATTTTTGTGCGAAAGAGGTAGAAAGACACGAGATTCAGGGAGATGTCAGCATTTCTTATGGTGGATTGTTAAAACACTTGGCTAGGTACAGTGTTGACATTTATCATTTAACAAAATTGTAAATTGAATGCATTTAGTATTACCCAAAAAAAACATTTTATTAAAACTTCTATGTTGTGACATTAGCAACTTGATAGGCTCTTCACCAGTGCTGTGGAGAGAGATAAAATAAAAAGTATAATTTTATTATCAAACAAATAGATTACAAAAAAATTAATTTCACATTATGAATGTTAACAACTGATGGGTATCCTGCAGAATCTATGCTAATAGGTAAGGAGTCTCGTATAATTTTTTTTGTAGAAATACAATTAAGTTTGAGTTTTGAGGGCTCTCAGTTTTTGGAAAGTCAATCTTAATTTTGGATTGGCCAAAAAACCTGAGTAAAATCAAGTGAAAGGTAATTTGAATATTATAACCTACCAATACTATTACATTTAGCTATTTTTTTTCTTGATTATGCCAAAAAAACTGTACATTTTATTGCTGTCTGTTTCCTGCATCTTATCTGCCACTACTTATTATATGTTATATGATGAGGTTAATGCTTTTTGTTGTCTTAATCTCTGGGCTGCTTATTAAGTCAGAGTACTATGCATTTTTTTACTTTCTTATTCTTCATCTTTGATGATTTTTGCTGTGTTTTTCAGCTCTCTCTCTCTCTGCAAAATTTGTCTTCACATCAGGGATTTGGACTTGGTGTTTTTACTTATTTAAATAAAGTTTAATGTTTTCAAAGTTCTTCAGGTGTATGCAATTTTTTTTTCTCCTTCTGGTTGTAATTAGTGTTTTTAATGGTTGAAAAATATTAAATCCTAGTGCATTTAAGACTGTGTATAAGGGAGCCATATGAGCAAGGCATGTGTTGTTACTGTGTAGCTGAGATGCTTTAGCTCTCATCCTATTGGAGATTAATGTTAAGCCAGTAACAAACAAAATGCTAATTATTCTTACAGACCAACCATTGTATTTGATTCTTTAGCTGTGTTATTATGTAAATGCTTGTTCAAATTCTTCTTTATAAGTTTGAGTCTCACCATTCTTTTGATATGTGACAACTTTTTATTTCTCATTGCTGGGAATCTAATTTCAGATACATTAGTTACATTGCTTTCTTGTGTTACAGTGAATTAGGTATAGATTTGTTTCTACTCTTTTATATAGTAAGTTAACTTTCTGACAATATAGTATGTGATGTTCCAGGGTCATCAGTAGATCTGAAGGATGAATAGAATTTGATAATTGATTAATCATCATGTATTACATTCAACTAATGAATTATCCTCACGCAAGACTTGGATATTTGCAATAACCAAAAAATATTAATAACTGAAAACACTAATTCTGATTAGTCTATTATTTTTGTGAAGTTTGAAACTAACTTATTAAACTGAATAACCTTGAATTATAAATTATTATAAGAAATCATGATGACAATATTTTGATTACTCAGTTAGTTCAAATAATTGAAAATGATAATAATTGGAAATAATAGTATCAGTTAGTTGATTATTTTCATGACATTAATCAATTTAATCATAATTGCAATTAATCAGTTAATTTATATGACAATAATTGATGTAAATGGTGGTCATAATTAATAGAGTTAATCGTCCAGTTCACTCTAATCATCATTTGGGAGTTTAATTAATTACATTTAGGGTGACATATAAATTTAATAGCATATATGTAATGTTAGAAATAGAGTTAAACAAGTTGAATAATACATATAAATATGGGAGAAAGTAGAATGTGTAAGAGGGTTAAATGCATGAGACATGATAAATACCATATTAATTACTGTATCTAAAGTAAACCTAGATATGAGTAAAATATATATACACAGTTGACATATTCTTTAATATTATAAGTTAACCTAGTTAGAATACGGTAACATTTGGTTGATATATTTATACTTGTTATGTATAAAATTTATTGTAGATGTCGCTGAGTAAAAAATATAGAAATTCTATAAAATTAAGATTTTGTGTGTTATGGTATGAGTACACTTCTGTGCCTTTTTTCTGTGCATTACATCCAATATGTACCATTATTTTTGTGTTCTTAGATTGTTGTGTACATCAACTAGAGTGTTTTATACATTTTACAAATAAATAACATTTTGCTTCAGATAAAAAATTTTTTTCTTATTTGCTTGGGTTTATCCAAGAGCTGTAAATATGATGATGTCAAACATAAATTTCATAAAATTAATATAATTTTTTTTTCATGTGGAACTAATATCATGTATAAGCAATATGTCTTAAGTAGTTTTTTCTTTGTGAGTCTCCATCTTAATTTTGGAGGTAAAATTGGGATTGTAAAAAATAAATATTTCTGTTTGTAAGTCTAAAATGCCTAACTGCAGTTTAGTTTAGGGTTTGTTGAGAACAAAACTCATGTTTATTGGAATGTTAAAGTGATTTTAATTCAAGAGACAGTGAATAACTTAGCTTGGGAAGGTTCAGGATTAAAGCCCTTTTTTTTAATTTGTCAGGAGTCTTATAATTTAGAAGTTCTAAATCTGATATATAAATAGCATGTGTAAACAAGTGTTGAATATGGACTTGGAGTAGCAAATATTTCAGGTTTGATAATTGGCTTATTTGTTAATGCTAAATTAATTGGAATTATTCTGTTTTTCAAATATTTATTGCCTTTTTTGTGTTTAAATATTGAAAGGTGAATAAATATTATACATGAAAATATGTACACTATATGTTTGTCTTTATACTAACTTTACAGTTATCAAGTAATTGAGGAAGTACAGTATTTTCTGATTTTGAGTAATTGAGTTGGTCATATTGTTTCTGTTTTTCCTTGGATCCATTATCAAAATGAGATAGGAAACTGTGCAGTTTGTTATGTGAACTAAATATATGCATGTTTAAAAAATTACAAACACTTCAGTGCTATACTGATTTCTTTTTATATCTTAAGTAGTTATTTTGTCCTACATAGTACATCAATATATTTTTGAGGTTGTATGTAAATACTACATATGTCACTCTATAATAGTGAATATTTATTACTTGCAAAATTATTAAATTTTTCTAAGTTTTAATAATTTTGGAATATATTAAATCTAATTTTGTGTGCAAAATTTTGGCCTGAGGCATTATTTTGTATAGCTTGATTGGTCAGGGAACTTATCTACTGTTTTGGGGGATAGAGGCAATGTGTCCTTATTGACCCTGTGTTGTAGATTCTCCAAGGCTGTCAAGTGGAACTGAGATATTGCTACAATTTGTTGCCCTTTTTTGATTGATCAGTTACTTAGATAATGATGCTTTTAAAAAGGATTAAGCATGGACCTTAAAGGAGTCGAAACAGGCAGTAGAAATCTTGTCTTTATGCTGTTTCTGATTCCTGTGTTTATCATGCGAGCTTGAGCTTTAGTTATAGTTAACCCTTTACCTTCTCAACTTAGTCTTTTTCTATTTTATTTTTTACTACTTATCTGGGCATGCTTCAGGGTCCTTTTCTAAAGTTTATTTCATTTATTTATTTACATCAGAAAACAAAATATTTTCATTGTATTCTTATTCTTACTTCGACCTGTCTTTTATTCCACCTGTCAAATGTCACTGCACATTTGCTTATGTATACACTAAATCCATGAACCTTTAATATTATTGGAAATCAGGGAGCTGTATCCACATACAATGTTGGATTACCACAAGGTGGAGCTTGTAAAACCAATCAGCTTTGTAAGGGTTAAGTGGCATGTCATGAAAGACAACTAATATTGAGATCACTCGGAGCTGGACAAAAAGTTACAATTATGTTTCTTTGACAGTACAGTATTTCTTTCTTTACCATTATTATAAAAGTTTGAAAGTCAGCAGATTAAATATATTTTAAACAACTGATGGAAGCCAAAAACAGAAGTTTGCTTTTATTTAAACATTTTGAGTTGAACATTGATAGTATATATATATATATTTTTTTTTTGTTTGTTTACCATAGACTAGTTTAAATTTCAAGATAGAAAAAAAAAAAGGCATATATAGTTTCTCAATCTCTCTCTCTCTCTTTGTGTGTGTGTGTGTGTATGTATGAAGCTAGTAAGGCTTATTGGAGATGTACTAAAAAATTATCTTCTGATTTCACACTGTTATGGATCATGGTAACAGTCATTTTAAATGTTAAGATACTAGATGCCCAATTTAAAGTCACACAGAAAAAACAAACAAACAGCTGTATTTAGATTTTGATTGAACAATTTTTAAACAAAACAAGTTTGTACTTTTTCACACCTTGGAATTAATTTAGCTTGTAGCATGGTTATTTTGCAATTTCATAATTATCATTGATATTTAGATTTTGTAGATTTTAATCTTAGATCTTTGAGCATCTAAATTTGCACTGAACTCATATAGATTATAATGAGCATATGAAGTATTATTGTTTCAGATATATTATAAAAACAAATATTTTAACATGCATCGTGTGATAGAATATATTTGATCTGCTTATTAATACATTTTATTGAATAACATCTTTCATGCATATTAAATTCACTGTGAATCATAATGCTTTATATTTAAATTTCTGATTTCTATACATAAACAAATGTTGAACCCATAACAGAATTTTTAAAACATGTATGTAAACATGTTAAAACTTGGCTGTACTTGCTGGTTTGTATATGTGACTTATTTAGTATAGTTATATGTTTTTGTGTTTATTTTTACTTTTTTTTTTAGTGAGGACCATTTGAAGGCATTGAAACATTTCTGGTGGCAAAATAAGCTTGACAAATCAAAGATGTCAACTTACAGTATTTCAGTGGAATGTTTAGATAAGTATGTTGATTAAATCAATCAGAAGAATGAATTTGAAGCATTAACACTTGGTAATAATGTACTTATTTTCAATATTCCTTTGTATTTAATGTTCTATTCAACATTCTGATTAAGAGAGTAAAAACACCACTCAATATGTAAGAAAGCTTTTTATATACATGTTTTGTTATTTTGAGAAACTACTTGCACTCTTAATTGACATTTTTGTTATATTGGATTCTTATTTTTTCCATAGTTACTCTTCCTTTCACTGATACAATTATGCTTGGGAGACAAGTGGTACAGTACTACTACTGTCATTTTGCCAAGTTCAACTAATTGTTTTAAGAATTTCTTGTTTTATTGGTTATATGTTTCTTCTTTGGATGACTGTGGCTTTCTCTGTTTCTTACCACAATCATTTTAAATATTTGAATTTTGTTCTGATAAATAGGAATATTTGGTTAAGGCTAGGTGGGTCTTCTCAAGTGCACCCCCAGTAGCTCAGGAGTAAGACTGAGGCATTATAACACTAAAAATCAAGTTTAGCTACCCATGGTATGCATAACAGATAGCCCATTGTGTAGATTAGTGCTTAACAAAAAAAACTCCTTTCAGGCATGTCAAAGTATAGTGCTGGGAAAGTTATCCCATGCTGTAATGATAGGGACAATATAACTTCTGCAGATGAGTCATATAATAATTCTTGCAGAAAATGTTTTTAAAACACTGAATGACTAGGTTGGGCAGTGTCTGTTGTAATTTTTTCAGACAGTGTAGAGGGATGTAACTGAGAAAGTAGTTTGCTGTAGAGAAGATTCTGATTTATGATTAAATTGTTTAAGAGTGTGCAGTTTGACTCAAACTAAGTGTGAATTAATATTCTGTTCTATGTCTGTCACAGGATTTCTAAATTTTAGAACAGACTGAAAATTATGTCTACAACATATACTATAGAGACTTTGTATGCACAGCAGAAGCAAAGTGCAAAGTCGCACTGGGTATGATTACAAAATATGGTGTCTGTCATTGCAATTCTTTGATTTTTGAAGCAATATTTATCATAGATACAAATGTTGGGATGTTAATTCTAGTTCAAATTTTTGTAATTTTGAAAGTAAAAATAAAGTTTGACTAAGTACACATAAAATACTTGTGGAAAACTGGGCTGTTGCAATTGTGATGTTCCTATATGATATGATAAACCAGGATATTTTGGAACAACTGTTTTCAAATTACTTAATGTACATGTGTTGATGGTTCTTTTGTGCAATTAAATTCAGTTTAAAATAAGTACTTTTTACTCCACTTTTTCTAGATTTCTGAAACTGATACCACAGAAAATTGAAGAATACTTGAAGAAACTAGATCATTTGCATAAAAAGGTACAATCCTAATAATTTCAAAGGCTAATTATTAAAGATGGCAATAAACTATGTAGGGTTTGAGATAACAGCATTCACATCTGAAAAATATCTGTTTTAGGAACTTATAATAAATTATTAGTACTCTAGGCATGAAAGGAGTTAAAAAAGTGCTATCCTTAACAATAATTTTTTTTATGTTTATGTACTTTTTTGATAGTAAAAGAGTATAAGCACATTGAATTTTTTAACAATTACATGATGCCAACTTCACACCAAAAAGCATGTGAAGTTAGTTGACACCTTCTATGAATCCAGTTTGGCTGGATTCATGTATGCTAAAATATTTTGGAGTTGCAGGTTTCAGCTCATAGTGGTGTATATGGGTTTGGTTATATTTTATATCATATATTGTATATGATAATGTGCTTGGACAGATGGAATACTTTCTCAAGGATCTTTGTTTTTATTATATTGTTTTTACAACAATTCTTCATACTGCTTTTCTTCCATCTAGGACATTGAACATATGCGTTTTGTTGAGCAACAAAGAATGCAACTTGTTCAAGACACAAAGATTGAGGTATGTGTAATGAAACAAAGTCTTCTAGCCCTGTTCTTTATGTCAAGCTGGTCACTTGTTCTTGACTTCTAGATTCATTCTTGTGATTAGCTTCATATATTATTTAAAATTAATTTATGAAATAAACAGTACTTTTTAATGTTTTAGAAATAAAACTGAAGCTAAACTCTGAAAATTTTATTTTCATCTACCAACTTCTGGTTCAAAAACTAGGTATCTTGTCAAAATTTGTAAACACACAATTTAACTCCTTATTTTCACCATTTGTCTGATTCTTTTTTTTTCTAAATAATTGCTGGTAATCTGCAGTTACAGAAAACCGTTTGAGTGGCAAATTGAATGTTATGTAGTTAGAACTAGACTTTATTCTTATGTAAGCTATGTTCATTTCATATTTATATTATCTGAATAATATATGGGTGATATTTCACTACTGTAAGACTGATAATAGTTTAAGTTTTGAATAAGAAGCATATATAGTAGTATTTGAACAATACACTGTTTGTCCTGTGGAGTTTTCTGCCTAGAAATACCAAAGCTCACCAGGTTAGCTGGGTGTTCATACTAAATTTTAAATGTATCAAATTGTCTATAAGACGTTTCACTAGAACTAATAAAGAAACCGCAATGTCAAATTTTATGGATAATGAACATTTGATTATCATCAGTGAATATTGTTTTCTTAATTATACTTGAAGTACTAATATATATATATGCTTATCATTGTGACAGACAGTGGCTTCCTACACTATGTATATCAAACTATGTAACATTCTGTACAGAGAGTGAAAAGATGCAAAAGGTCATATATATAGCATTGAAAGTAATAAGTTCACTTCTACTTTAAGATCTTCAACATATCCACAGTTATCAGGTAGCTAGGAAAGCTACTGTTAGAAGAGACTTGGAAGTTTTCTGTCATACTGAATGTTGCTGATCTGTGAAAGGCATACCACCTGCAAATGTATATTGTGAAAAGAAATGAGCCTAGAAAACACACTATGTCCTGAAAAAACAGTATTGTGTCTCACGCATTTGTTGAGCAGGTCTATTTTAAGATTTGCATTGTCCATGGCATTTTATTTTGACCAAGGGCTGAATTTTGATTTAGCTCTGTTTACTGAAATGTGCAAAACATTAGTATAGAAAAAAAGTAAAAAACACAAATGCATACTAATGTGTTCTGATGAAGAGGTAGAACAATGCAACTACAGTAATGTAAAAACCACTTTGTATGTATGTAATGGGAATCAGAAAAGTATAGATCAAGTCAAATTGCAATAAGTATTGCATAAAGGAACATTATTTAACTTTTGTTTGTGATTTCTGATATCAGTTTGAAAATGAGACTCTAGAACTCTAAAGAAGTAGAATTTCCTTTAAGAAAAAGTGTCCAGAGAAAGTAATGGTCATAGTGAAGTAGACTACTCAACCCAATTATCATGGATAATGATAAAGAACTGCTGAAGATACTGCTTCATGGGCTAGTTAAGAGCTATTAATGTAGTAATTATGAAAATTATTCAAGGTTCTTCACAATTCAAGTGGAAGGGCAGTGTTATATGGTGGTATATAAAATGTTTTATGTATATTATTTTTGCAATAATGTTCAAAGATATTTAAATATTAAGGTGGTTTATTCATAAAAATGTCATAAAATCATGGTAAATTAACACCTATATGTTAAATAATAAATATTGCTTTCTTTTCAGAATTTACATTAATGTACTAGAGATTGGTTTGCACTTTGCTTTTATCTCTGTTTATTTCTTGAATATGTTTTTAGTCTGCTATAGAACAACTTCCTCTCATGTTAGCTGGTGACTCACAACCAATTGCATCATCCTCAATGTATCAGAATGAAGTTTTCAACACCAGAAAAGTAAGTGATGCTGTATGATGTGTGAATGCAGTAAGTCATGTTTCTTATGGTTTTCTTGAACAAAGCATCTATTCTGATTATTTTCTTTATGTTACAGTTTTGTTGTTAATGCCTATTTAGTCATCTTTACCATTTTTCTGTGAAATAACTGTTAAGGTCTGTAAATATTCATTTATTCCAAAGTAAGTGAAATTTAGAGTAGATGACATGAAAGTGTTAAATTAATCAATTAAAGAAACATGTTTATTTGCCATTTTCTTAATTAAAAAAATAATTAAGGTATTTTATACACAAATAACCATGTTGGCAAGTGAAAGACCACTTTTCTACTTGGGTTGAGATAAAGGATAAGATAAAAAATTTAATCTACATTATGCACTGATGGTGTATGAATTAATTATCTGATAATTTATTAAAAATATATTTAGAATGCCGATGTTTCCGTTTATCAACATTATATTTTAAGATCTGTGCAAGAACTCAGCTAACAGATGTTTCTGCATATAAAAGCTATCTTCAATATTCTATATGTTAATAAATATCTCACGCAAAGTATTTTTGTAAAATTTACGTGTTATAAATTTGTTTCATTGTTATTGCTATATGATATTATATTTTTGATATTATTATTCTGTAATGAAACAATTGGCTTTAGTGCAGTTGATATGTTCCCATATATATAAGTTCTATATTAAAATACTGTGACTGTATAATAATTACATGTGTAACTGCATTATAGGGTACTAAGGTTATACTTAGTAAAATAGTTTGTTGTGCATGATCTTGTCAATGAGACATTTACTAAGTGCCTGTGAATGTAAAAAATGAACATGCTTCTTGGATTTCCATCTGTTTTTTCTTTTCTTTTCAGACAACAAGAACAGAGAAAAATATATTTACAGGAGCACTTCCTCCTTGGCTTCAAAATGACCAGGAAGAAAAAAGTACTTTACATGTATTACCTGTTGGTCATAGATCTAAAGATTTGATTGGTCCTACTGCAGAAGAATTCTTAAAACATGGTAGGGTGAAAAAAATAGTTAGATTTGGATTTAATATTACATTTTATATATTACAGAATACAGAATTTTTTATGTTATTGTTCATTATTTAAATGTATGTGTCACTTACTGCAAGTCATTTACTTAATTTTTATTCTACTGCAAATTATAAGTTATAAGAAATTTGTCTTAAAAGTAATGACTTTAATTTAAAAAGTTTAAAAAATATGTTTGAAGAATATAAATTAATTTCTAGGATAGTTTTTATGTTGTAGCCAGATTTAGAAATTGTCACAGTACAGGCATACAACAGATGTTTTCAGTTTGAACATGAAAGACAAGTTCCCCTTAAAAAGCTGTGTTATTTTGTAACTTATTCATACTTAGTTATGAATAATAATCCAATTAATAATAATAATATATACTAATTATTTTTAAATTACCAGTGTCTTTTTCAATATATCTGAATTTTTATGGTGTTATATGAAATCAGTTTAGTCTTCCATTAACAAAACAATTACTATTGAATAGCTTCAAATCTCACATAATAAACTGTTTGTAACAAACATTGAATAAAATATTCATTTCTATGTTTGTACAAGTGCCATCATTGATAGGCATAAATCCTATAATCAGCATTCAGAAACAGATCTGAAATATTGAGGAACAAGTTGTAAGTTATAGATAGGTCCAAGAGTAAAACAGTGCACAAGGGAAAAAAAAGTCAACATAAAATAGCAATCAAGATGCATTTATTGAGAAGAGCTGGAACATTCAAAATAATTATTATTTTCTGTTCATTATGTATTTTTTCAGGACAGTACACACTTCTGAAAAAATTATTTGTTTGTTTCTGAAATAACTTGTTTAAAAATTTAAGTGTTATGTTAGATTTTTTTCTGTATGTTAAATGAAATGCTTTGTTCATTTTAACATCTTTCATTAATGCAAATTTTTTGTTCGCTGTAATTACAACTACTAAATTGTGTGTTTTTTTGTATTCAAATTTCAGATTAGTCTATTTTCTATGTAACTTTTTTAGTAAAGAATAGGATTTGTAATGCTTGATCTTAGGTTTTTTGTAGTAAAATATTAAGACTTGATAAATTTGGAAGCAAAAATTTACATTTTTGTTAAAAAGAATAGGTACAACTTTTAGTGAGTTTTCATTTTGAAAGCAGTGTGATTGTTACATGTATTTTTTTTCATTATATTAAATGATAGTTGCAAAGAAGAGCAAGAGGCACTTAAACCCTCAAAGAGTTGGTGCTAACTTTGATCATAACACACCAAACTCTGGAGAATGGCTGCCATCATTTGGCAGAGTGTGGAATTTTGGAAGACGTTGGCAGTCAAGGTATTTTGATTATTAATGCTAGTAGTATTGTTAATGTATTGAGGAAAGGATACTTTGTGTCTGTTAAAAGGTAAATTCAACTATTCACTCTATGTATACTTAAATGAAATGCTTTGCATATCAAGTAGAAAGTACAAAAGTACACAACCTAATTATTATAAAATTCTACTATCTAGAATTCAATATTTTTTAAGAATGTACAATATTAACACTAAAAGGAGTACTACTTGTGCTAGACCTATGAAATACGTTCATAAAGACACAAGGGGTAATAGATGAATATTATGCTGTCAAGTAGATAGCAGGAATTTACCAGCATTGTGGATGGGATTTTATAGATTGGAAATAACACAAATTTAGGGGGAAGTCTTGTTTTTTTTAAAATTGGTATTATTATTATTAAGAACCTATGTTAACAGGGAATGGGCACTCTTTTTTTTTCATTTTTTGCATTAACTCTCTCACTATGGGTAGGTCAAAGTGTGCACATGTCATTACTTTTTATAGAGTTACATTCAAAACTTAAACTTCTTTATTATCATTGTATACAAATAAACTTGATATCAAAATGTAATTAATAAACCATATTTTAACATTATATAAGTTTTAAGTTCTTAATTATATAAGAAAATATTTTTAAAAAATCCTCAGTCTCCCCTAGTATAAGAATTGTTACATTTGCTCTCAAGGTCTTCCCTCTTTTCTAATTTATTTACCACCCCTCTGAGAAATAAAGAATGTGATGTAAGTTACTCATTGTAATATTTATATTACTCAGACAAAGCATAATTTTTATAGCCTTCGATCGTATTTGTTTACGGAGCTATACTCTAGAAAATGAGACCCCCTTGCCATGCTCACCTGTTGCATCCTTTCTTTCACAAATTGCCAATAGTTCTCTGATGTTTTATACTATATTATTTATAAACAATAGAAATCCAAAATTTTAATCTATCAGATGACTGTTATATTACATGGTTTTGTGTACATACAATTGTCTATTTTCTGGTTCATTTTCTGACTTGTTCTCATGAGAATTACATCGACTAGCATAACTGAATTTTTATAGGCTCTTATTGTACATTTTGAAAGCCAGAAAAATTGATAGTTATAGGACATTGTTTGCTTCTTGTGTGTTATTATTCTGTGTTCTTAAGTGTATTATTTAATTAAATGAAAAATGTAGTGTAGTAGTACCATTAATATACAAAAGTAGGCTTAGATTTCATTGACAGTTAACAGCAAAAAAAAAAAACCCAGGTAAGTACTATATTTCTTGTTTTTCATGTGTTCTTTATTTATTGTTTTAAAAATAACTAAAATGTAAAAATTAGAAACTTGTTATATCAAATAAAACATTTTTGTAACGTATATGATTTTCTTTTTGTTTCTAAGAAGCTATATGTTGTGAAAAGTGAAAATTATTTTTAAATACAAAAAAAAGTTCATCTTACATGTACACTAGTTCAGAACAGTTCACAGGTAATGGTTTTTACCTCAAAAACTCAAGACTATCAAAACACTTGTGCATATATTTAGTTTACATGAAGGTGTAGGCAAAGGTCAATAGAAACACTACATATATTTTGTTTTTTTCAGACATCAGTTTAAACAAGAGTTGGGAAAAATACGAAAAGGGAAGAAAATGACAGGTTTGTCTGAATCAACCAGGTCATCATTCAAAAGAAGAAAACTTTAGCTTATAGCATAGTGAAAAGTGCACTCCTCCTAACTCTTTAGAAATTTCATTGATGTAGTTTTGTCCATAAAAACAAGCATTTTTTAGTTGTTATTGTTGTACAAATCTAAACACTTTAATGATATTGACATTTTTTCTGTATTATTGAATATTTAAATTTATTTTCACAGAATAAAAATCAACGTTTCATGTGACTGGTGTAATTAATTAATAAACATTTGAGTGTGAGATAGTAAGTACAAGAAAATGGTTTTCAAATCTGGAGACTACTGTTATTTAATTATTTTTACCTTTTAGAATTTTTTATAGAACTTGAATTTTTTTTGTTGGTATAATGATGATTTTTGATTATCTGGGAAATGATTCTGTTACAGTTCATGTGACTTATAAAGTGCTTATTTGGACATGTCAGCCACTTGTAAATTTCTGCATTTTCCTCATCAGTTACTGCTTTCTATTTTTCAATTTGTTGCAATGATTATGATCATCAGTCTTTTGTAGTTAAGTATAAACTTGATGAAAAAACTTTTACAAGTATTAATAAATTTAAAACTGGGGAATTTACTTAGGTATTTATATACATTATTAAAGCTACATGTTATTGTATTGTTTTAAATTAGGTTTTGAATAAATTACTCTTTATTTTTGAATACAATTTTCTGTTATCTACCTTACAATTTGGAAATTTTTATCATTATGCTATTTGAACAGGAGCTTTTTTTTATTAATTTTCAATGAGTAAGACAAAAAATAAATCTCAAAAGGTTCTTTTGGCTTTAACTTTTGACCTACACCATTAAGTTCAAATCTTGTAAAATGTACATTTTGCTCTCAATTATATTTTGTAATCTGTTTTCTAATCTACTGTTCCCCCAGTCGGACAGCAATAAATTTACGGACTTACAACACTAAAACCTGGAATTTGATTTCCTGTGGTGGACACAGCAGATAGTCCAATGTGACCTTGCTCTAAAACAAACACACACTAATGTACTGACTTTTATTTAAGTACAGTTGTTTATCATTTTGAAATTCATCACTAGCAAAAACAATTGAATATATAACTATGTTCTCCTGAATACAAACAAGATATTTAAATGTAAAGTTAAAAAAACCAACAAAACAAGACAAGTCTAAGCTTATATAATAATGCATAACATTTATGCTGTCAATAGTTTTGGAGTTTTATTTTTAAAAATTGTGCATTTGTTTCCATTTTGTGTTTCAGAAATCATGTTTGAATTTGTAGTGCAAGTCACAAAAATGTTTTCTTACTGAATAATTACTCGTTATTAAACACTACTTCTTGAGCCAAGTATGGCCCAGTTCTGTTCAATTGTGGCTCCATCATTTGCTCTGTACTTTGTGCTCGTGGGTGTGTTTTGTCAGATAAGAATAGCCCAAGAGATGGTGGTGGTTGCTATCTGGTACCTGCGTTCCCTCTAGTCTATCAGTTCAAAATTAGGAATGGCTAGCATAGATAGCCTTGAATTAGCTTTAAACAAATACCCTACGAAACAAAACATGAAACTGTGTTCCTTGAAAAAATGCATTGTTATATGGAGTATTATTAATATGAAATTACAAGTACTGTTTTTACAGCAGAAAAATGCTGCCATAAAGTTGAACATGCTTTCCTGTAACATGTAGGTCTATGGTCTATGAACCAGCCCAAGATTCAGCCATCTTTGTAGGTGAAAAGTCTTTAAAACACTGAAATGCCTGTCAAAGTGCAGAGGAGCATTCAACTGCGAAGTTTTCTGAGTTAAGAAGGGTTCCTCAGTTCTCACTGTCAGCTTGACTTCCCCTTCACCACTTAAGTATTTTCAAAACACAGAGGCATCTCTAGGATATTAATGCACAAGAAGCACAAAAGAGAAAAAAAAATCACTTGGATAAATTGAAAATACAAATCAGTTACCACTTGTGAAATAGCTAGATCCTAGACAAAGCACCAATATTTGTTTGACATATGCAATGTCAAGAGAGATACAATGTAACTATTCTATGAAACAGTATAGAAGCTCTTTTACCAGTCATCTGTAAAAATAAATACCTCAGGTTGGAATTAACATATGATCTCAACCAGATATAGGACGTTTCATATCAAAAATGAGAAAAATTCAACAATTTTGTAAATATGAAATATATATCATAGAAGAGTAAATTATGTAGCTCTTACTTAGTGCACCATTGATCTTCATTGTACATTGTGAAAGTCCAGGTGAATGTCTATCGTATTGTCTATCCCTAACGATGATGTTGCCAATGCATCACTGCCTTAAAGTCAAACTTCACTGGGAATTAAACCTACAAATTGTTGTCAGAGTTTTTCCTGGCATGGGAGATATTTCATTTTTGTTGCATAGGCGATGCAACGTCTACATCACTGTGGGAATGCAGCTAGTGAAAACATATCCACTTAGCGTATAATAGTGTATACTTTACAGCGTTTTACACTTTAATTGCACTGCTCCAATTTCATAATCATTGACATCCATACCTGGGACGAAAGGAACATATCTTATTGCTTAAACTAACAATATTGCATGGACCAAGCCTCATTTTAATTTCTAGAATAACTCTGCATAATCCTCCATACTTCTAAAATTGGATGCAACCTTTGGTAACGCAAAAAAGTAGTACTGTTGTAGTAGAAAAGTTTATCACAAAGTGTCTATTATTAAAATAATGCAAAGTCAAAAATGCTTCAGTCTTCTTTCTGTTTGTGAGTTTGAGCTAGTCTAAGAATAATTTAAATTTTATTTTAAGAGGATCTACTCATTACATTTTTATGAGAAAATATCTATCTGATTTCAATTTCAGACCTACCCCAAAGTTTGAAATAGTGAGCTCTGTCTTTCAGCTGTGGCCGAACCATACAACTAGACACTAGTTCATCTTTAACATATATTGCCACCATTCCCATTGCAAACCAATTAAAACCACTGAGAAAATGACATGATGCAAACCTTCTAGAGTGTTCTTGTCATCTAATTTCATTTGCTGCTAGACATAAACAAGACCTAGTGAAGTAAATAAGTGATATGCTAACAGTGCACCTAAAAATATATCCATGCGTAGTAATGGCAACTTGTCAGATCATGTTGCCACATTCACATACTCGATTTCCACACATAATCTTAGCTTGGCATACCAACTTTATTTATTATGATCAATTCTAGTAATAACCAAACACTCTCTGAATATTACAATGATTCTCTCCTCCATCTACTGACTTATCTTACTGCGAACTAAATTCTCGATGCACCAGAAAAGTTTGTGTAATGGTTGTTTTATAGGATATGCGTCCCTAGTATCTATTTGATGCTAAAAGATATTTATTCTTCCAAGATAGTTGTTTCATGTGAAAAAACATTGGCAAATTAGGTCTATAGCTTTCTGAGTTTTCTCTGCTAGTTTAAGCTTAGAATATCTGCACATTCTCTAGATAATGACTTCATAAGTGATGATGCCCGTTTATTTATATGTTGTTCTGTTGAATTAAGAGATGATGTGAAGATACAAAATTAAAATCTTTATTAATAAGAAAACAGAGTCATAATACAAAACAAAACATGGGTTGTGTGAATGTGGAACTAATGTTTGTTTGTTTTGAACTTCGCGCAAAGCTACACGAGGGCTATCTGTGCTAGCCGTCCCTAATTTAGCAGTGTAAGATTAGAGGGATGGCAGCTAGTCATCACCACCCACCGCCAACTCTTGAAACCAATGAGAGAGATTGTGTGAGAAAACTTATATTAGCTCTCTCTCACCACTTCAATGTGAGTCCCCTCTAAGCTAAATGTTAAAACCCCATGAAAAGAAAAACAAAGCTAAAAGACACTCATTGAAGTTTAGCATAAGTCTAAATATCAATAGACTCTAAAGTATTACCATGTAAAATCTCAACTCTAGTCTCTTCTACTTTATAGGAGAGAGACTGGCCTTTGAATACAAGATAAATTAAAACAAAGCCAGGCTGCTCAAGGCCCACACCTTACGTGACATCCAACCACTTTCATTTTACCAGGGAAATCCTGAGGTATTATCCAATTTTCCGAAAGAAAAGACAGCTGTTTATCTTGGAACTCGAATGAAGTATAGCTATTTTGCCTGCAAGAAAACACGTTTAATGACAACTAAGAGTGATTCTGAATCCAACACAGTTACAGTAAAGAGAATTTGAATTGTTTACTTGCAAGGCTTTCTGTGTTCAAACTGCACTCAAAGAAAACTGATAAAAATTTTGAAAAATACATATTACCTAAGGGGTTACAAACATATGGTACCATCCTATACCACAATTGCAAAATCAGATAGAGTTCTGTTGTTCCTGTGGCAATGAAAACCTTTACACTGTATCTGTGCACTTTCACAAGCACATGTTAAGCTACGCTTGGCTTTATTAAAGCTGTACTAACTACAACATCTGAAGAAACATACAGTTTACTGTACCCTCTAAGATTAGTGGGCATACCTGATACAGGGATCACTATTTTAAACTAGCAGGTCTAACAGCACTTACAGGTAGTTGCCTACAATGAGTTTATTATTTACCATTTGGCGGAAATGTAAGCTTCTGTGCAGACTCAGAGAAAGGCCTCATTGACCAAACTGCCATCAGTTTTAGAAAGCATCTCTCCTTTTTTTTCTCTTTTTATGGGTCCAAATCTCTGTATCAGTGTCACAGCTAGGATTGCGGATTCATGAAAGCTCTACCAACTCACTGGCAGTCAATGAGGCTGAACCGAAGTGCCATACACTGTCTGCAGGGGAGGTGCCATCTCTTGCAGATTCTCATAGCGTGGTGCTGATAAACATGGGAGCTGCATCTCTGGTAGTGCTAGCTAACTACTTACGCTACTATTGTAGATGCTTTGAATTCTGTCACAGCTTCTGTTAAGTTTTTAAAGTACTGTTACGACAGCGGAAGTCATGTGACGCTAGTAACTCGTCATGAGCTTCTAGAAAATTCATGTCCGTTCGTGAAGCCTCGAGTGTTCTCCATATGTACGCTTTTTGTATATATAAGACTGGTAAAAAGTGACGGCAACAATGGAATTGAATTGCAGACAGAGATAGAGACGGACAATTTAGTCAAGCGCGTGAATCGTTCGTTGTGAATTATAGTGTTTGTTTAAGTTATAGCGTGACTGTGGAAATTAAGTGTATTGTAAAGTTGTATTGAGAAAGAATAAACTAGTTTTATTGAAGAAAGGACTTGTATCGCTAAAGTTTCTTCGGAAAGAATTTTTACGGAAAATTAACAAACGAACGACCAGAGGCGTAACAGTACCCGATGCTTGAGTCGTGTTGAGGGACCCAGTAGGAAGGTTCTCCACAAACTTATCAGCCAGAATATCTTTTGGTCAGATGTCACCATGCTGAAGTGTACTCAACAGTAAAAACATTATGGCTCATCACTGTACACGGACGAATTTTCCTAGGAATCACATTTATGAATATGAATATTGCATGGCTGGTAAATGGCTCTTATTTTTTATTAGGTCAGATCAGCAGATCAATTCTACTACAATATATTCTCAGCTGTATAGCTTGTTAGGCTTTAGGTATTCTATACA